TGCTTTTTTTGCTGTCAGATGCCCGGGCCGCGACGGTCCTTGGCCAATGGAGTACTGGTGTTGTAACATCTGTTCAAAGATAATGCAAATATAAGACGCGGGAATGATGGTTTCCAATCTGTCGCGCGGATTTCTCCAAAGATCACATTAAAGGCTTTCGGTAACTACGTGCTGCGCTTCGTCGATAGTCCAAGTTCAACCCGGGTATGCAAATTGCCTTGTTGCTAGAGGCAGAAAAAGACAGCGGAGGAATGAACCGCTCAAGAGAGTCAAGAATATGTGCACTTGTGCGTAGCCAGCCCCATCGTCGGACATTTCACACTCTTGGTACCCTCAGTTTTTTTCGTGAGGTGCCTTTGCTGGCTCTCGCGAGGCCCGAACCCTACCCTGGGGAACAGATTACTCTTGTACCTAGCTTCTTGCCACCCATAATCTCTCCAGAATCACTCCATTTCAGTACTTTTTGCCCCTTGGCTTGGTAGAGCACTACCGCCGATGATGACATTGCCGTTTGCCTTGAAGGCTGACATGCCGCACTAAAGATAGCATGAGCCATAAACTCCTTGAAGTATTTACAGTAATCCGTTTGGTGGCACCAGACCCATGTCGAGACTTTAAAGTGCAAGCTAAAATATTGTACCATTTCCTTGTTTCTGAACACTTCTGAATCTATTAACAAGATTCAGACTTTACAACAACTCATTCGAGTATAAATCTAGTACTGGACTCCTTGTCTCTAGTTCGATTCAGGCTTGGCACAACACAAATGAAACTAAACCATTTCGGGTGTGTTTCACTGCCCCCTTTGCTTGACAATAATAGGTGTCTGAGTAAGCTGAGACAGCATGGCCTGGTAATCCTGGCGGACGACTGAGACAGAGAATAGGACCAAGCGGAACCAATCTTGGATGCGAAGGTTGATTGGTTGAAGAAGGAACGAATATCATGTTACGGGTTGAAATATCCCATAGATGGCTAAAGTATCGCTAGGGCAGTCTAATACCTGTCATATAAAACAAACACGTCCGACACTTTTTCCCTTTCTCCTACCGTCTCCCACAAATTATGTTGTCCGCGACTACAAATCGCCTCAGGACACAGATCCGGACCTCAAATTTCTCCACTTTGCAGAATGCAATTCCTCTTGCAAGAAACACCATACACTCCTTGGTCCAATCTTCCCGACTCTTTGCACAGAAATATCAAGTTCAAAAATTGGCTTCATTGGACCGCTCAACAAGTACCCATGAAAAAGCATTAGCGGCGCTGGCGAGATTATCCAAACGCGATCCCCCTCGGCATCCGTCTAAGCGCACCCCTGATAAGGAATCTCGTGATAATCTCGCTGATCGCGTCGAGAAAGCTCTAAAAGAATCTGGCTTGCGCACCTGGGGCTTCCCTATTTATCGATGCACCTATCAAAATGATTCCGACTGGGCCGAATTTTTAGATCGGTACCGATGGCATATCTCTGACATACTCAAGAACTATAATGGTCTAGATATGCTTGATAACTTTCAGACCACTGTCTTCGAGGACCGAGCCCTTTTTGAAGGTGCGAGCACGGCGACAATCCGTGGGCATTTCCAGAAATGGGCAACGACTGCTATTCAGGAAGAGTCAGGCGGCTCGCCTGATATGATTCGGTACTTTAATGTTAAAGCGGCGCGTTATCGGTTCTGTCTTTTTGTTGATGAAGAGTCCTTGCAAAGCGTTCTTCAGGCACCTATTGACGACTGCATCAATAAAGATGCATTCGTGAATATGCTCAACGGGTGGTGGAAACCCGAGTCTATTGAAGATTTCAGCCAGGAAGATCTTGAAGACGTAGATAAACCAGAGGACCTACTTGATGATGGTTATGATCCTGTCGAAGGGTGTACTTTGAAGGATGTTGGGTGGATGAAGGTTGCTTTATGTGACGCGGGGCTGGAAGGTTTTCTAAAGATGGGCGAGTATGGTGAGTGGGAAAGATTATATGAGCGTCCTCAGGAGATTTGTTATAATATCTCGAATTTCCATGCTCGGCGATAGAGCCATGGCCATATTAGAAATGAAAAGAATCAAGACTGTACATATGTAGTGGATATAGTAATTCTTACCGCTATGCCAGATTGGCCAGCAGTACCAGGTCTCTGGTGGGAAGAGAGAGTGAACCACTACCTGTAGCAGGTAAAAGACTTCCTGAAGTGCCTTCTCCTGCTAGTCCATTTTAATAGGGGGGGCCGTCTCAGGCCACAAAGCTACTCAGCCTGGGCCATAGTATCCCTACATGGTCGCCACTGCAATATTTCCATTAAACATGGGCTCATGAGCACAGCCATGACTATCATAAGGGGGTTTCAACTAATAATACTGCTAAGATTATCACTGGTACAGCAACGAAAGTCACATGTACTAGGCTGTCACTCACAACTTGTTTCCTAATCCGCGCTGGAATGGACACGCCACCAACCTACCTAGATAGAATCCTCCCCTTAGGGGTGACTACTTTTAAACATGTGCAAAGGCTATTAAAGCGGCGACTGCGGATTGACCTTAGTGATGTAATGCTATCTCTATCTAGATCTACTAGTTATTTTCTTCCCCCCAGCAAGCAGACAGATTAGAAGATCTTCTCAAGATGGCTTCACTGTTATTCAATAAACACAAGTCCTAGATTATGCAAAAAGCGGCTGAATTTGTGATCTACTCCCGCGGAAGAGCCTGGGACCTGGCAGTATAGTAATAAGAGCAGGAGATCACGTTTCTGCCGGCCAGGGCAGGCAGCACCCTACCAAGGCGATAACTATGGGAGTATCTCGTACACAAAAATCACAGGCCAGGCCTTGCCCGCTTCCATGTGACTCCAATAAAATGTGAATGACATACGCTCTATAACTAATCGATTTATATATCAATCAATAGTTGTTATGGCCATGACGAACTTCAAAACTGCATTATAGATAATGGCGTTACATAGCTCAATAGCATATTTTGCATACTTTTATAGCTGGCGTACATGTCGACTCTGGTTTCAAAACACTAGAGGGTGTGTTGCCATTGGAAGAAGTAGGCATGGAAACATTTGCACTTCGGGTACATGGTTAAGTCTTGAACATATCTTATTACCTCTGCATTCACATAGCAGTATGGGGAAAATCTTGTTAAAGGGAAAAACCCCATACCAAGGCATGTTATACAGAAATAAAGGACTAAATAATAGGCCATTACAAGATTCTTCACTTGATACAAACCTCACTATTATAATATAATCCCTGGCGTTATATCAGAAAATATATATGAGTAATAAACAGCTCCTAATAAGCCTAATAACCCTTACCACAAATGCTATATCATTTTAAGAGTCTTTTTAAGTATTGAATCAGTCAAGATACCATTATACCCCTTTTAACATCACTTCCGTATATCAAATAATCATTGTGGACATGTATATTGATATGTTGGTGGATACTAAAGCAGAAGTCAATGTTAGTATATAGTATTATATTAATTTTCATGGTTTGTCTTTATACCTTTAGATATGAGCACTAAAACTTATGTTAGCTGATAAGTAATATAATATTAAAAGTAAATACATACTACTTCAGGCTGATAAAAACAGTGAGTGCCTGGAGGACATTGCTGACAGAACTGGACACAGGCAGAAGCAGAGGTATATGCACAAAGGCTAACAAGTAAGATCAGATTGATAATTTGCATGGTTGCTGATTTAGGGTTATAGAGCTTTGTGTTACTAATGAAAACTTGGTAATTAACAAAAGTAGAATAAAAGTTGAAAGCTTTAGGATCTTTGTTAACTTTATATTAACTTGCTCAAGTCTGTATTTTATGACTGCATAACGCATCATAGAGATGGCTTAAATTGCAAATAGCAGTGCAGACTCTCTATACAGAAATCCTGAACTGAGGTGTACGCAAACGGAAATAACTTGGTTACTTCTGCAATTTAAGCTTCACAGCAGCGCCTTTAAGTTTGTGTTGGCTTCGCCTTAGTAACAATATGTCTATATGACCGCTATCTTGCCACCAAATCAGCCAAAGCCGGTATGCCAGCTCTCCCAGTGGGAATATAAAGCCATCAAATATATATATCATTTAGTTAGCCATGGATTATTACTTTCGTAATTGCTATACGGAGTAGTATACGATTAGTCATTATATGACGTCTAGAATACATTTATATCGACGCAATGCATTACAATTGCGCTTTTTTCAAAGCTACACAGAATCGTCATAGGCTAAAGCGCGTTATATCTGCAGAATTCTTACAATCCATCTCCGACGTGATGAATTATAAGGATGGAAACAAATTGGACCTGCAAGGCTGGCTGTGAGCACCTCAGATTTACTCTTGAATATCAAAATTTATTTTACTTGAGAGCATGTTGAAGTGTACGGTGTGTGACTATAGCAGTATTCTTGAGATTAAAGAAGAAAAGTATTAGACTGGGTGTTTAGAATCTATAAACTATGGAAATTATAGAATAAAGCACGAATAAGACATGTATCTAGAATCTGGAGGGGACCTGACATATGAGCATGCATGATTGCATTACTGCATGATAAGCAGCACTCACGCCTAGTAATACCAGTCAGTGAATAAATACTATTTCTGATCTGCTACAGACGACAACTGACCTACAGCAGAGATGAAACTATCCTGTCAGGGAACCGCGCGAAACCCTCTACCAACTCTGCCAATTCCCTCATCAGACAGGACGCTAGCTCAAAGGACACCCGCGACTCCAACCCTACCATCTGCAGCTTTAGCTTCGTCTCATACGGAGGAGCGAAAACCCAGTCCTCGGAGAGCGATAGACGTGTAGATCCGGCTCATACGACGTACTGGTCAGCTGATCGTTGTCCTTCCCCTTCCCGAACGCGAGATGAAACTTGTGCTGGACGTTCTGGTGCTGGAAGATGAGGGGTAGCCCCTGACCCTCTCCTGCAGGCCAGGACGTACTTTCTCTGATAATTTGACCTAGGGAAATATCGTCATGGTCCGTGGTCAGAAGGTACTGAGCCTGCGCTTAGTCGAGGAACTCTCTCACCGTGCTGTTTGGCCGGAGATGGACCCGGAACGGGACGAAATTGACGCAGGGGCCGAGGGTCTGATCTATGCCTCCGAGGTAGGTTGCGGCCGTTGACTGTCTGCCCGAAGACCACATCCGTCTGGGACAGACGCCCCCTCCAAATACTTCCTCCAAAAGGCCAACCCGGCCTGGGGATCGGTGCCGCAGCGGTGACGAACCACATCGGCGAATTGGGCATGGGGCGAGGGCGACAAGCGTGCCCCGGTATACGCAGCGACCAGGTCGTTGAAGAGGATGGAGATGGAGAAGTAGTCACGCTGCGGGTGGGATAGCGCAATGATCAGCGCATGCTGGCTCGTTGAACATGATGCCAGAGTCAATCGAACGTGGCTACGGTCCAGATGCAGGGATGGATCATGGCCGCTGACGCGGAGGGCCGCGCAGACCCCCGCGCAGGTCGTCAGATGCAATACCACGGCATAGAGGAGGTTCATTGCAGTAATAATCGGCAAAGATAATTTGGAATAGGCCGTGGGGGTTCTTGGTGAAGATGGTGCGGAGAATGCAGTGCTTGCATACCACAGCAGGGCAGGCCTCTGTCATTCGCTCGATATCTACCTCACCCTCGAGATAAAAAGCGAACGTGTCGAGGCCAGACCGCTCAAGGAAGAATGCCTGGACGTCTGTCGCCGGGAGCACCTCGACAACTTGGGGTGTTTCCGGGAGCGTTCCTCGCTCCCGGAGCTTTGAAACGCATAGTGCTGTTTTTATATATCTCCAATTGAGGTTCCAACTGATCGCCAATGGTCTTTGTGCCGTTTACTGTACCCTTTACCTCAACGATTCCCTCTGCGGCCTTCCTTGGCAGGGATGAGAGCGTCGGGTTGGCGAATATGTCCGTTTGTGTGGAGGCAGTACGCTGGCGCATTCGGTGGCGCGAGACTCCAGGGGACTTTCTCGTCACCGGTCCAAGGGAGGCGTGCCATAGTTGACGAGGGCACAACGATCTGAGTTTGTACCACTTGCTGCTGGACGTCGGCCTGGCGCCCAGTCATGAGTACCACCGTGGCCCCTGTCTGCTCGATGATCCGTTTCAATCGATCCAGTGGGTGAGAGAAGGGTCCAACGGGACAAAGGCGCCCACAGCCTTGTGCATTGCAAGCAGGGCCACGATTGCCCAGATGGTCTTGTCGAAAAGAACCGGGATGAATGGGAACGGACGCACGCCGTGTTGTCTCAGATGCGCCGCCAGGCCCGTGGATAGTCGAACCAGCTCCCGATAGGTAAGCGCTCCATCCCACGCGTCAATGGCGGGAAGGTCGGAGTGTTGCTCACCGACGCGATGGGTGATTTTATGCATCAACTGATGTGGTGGTAGTGGTGGCCTTGCGGCTTCGACAGCATTCCATTGTCGTATCAGACGCTGGTCGGGGGTGCCGAATACAGGTAGTTGATTGACCGGGCAAGATGGGTTCGCCACCACAAACTKGCCGAGTTCCTTGATCCTGTCTACCAGTAACGACGCGCTCATGTCCTCCATGACTGTCGTCCGGTAATAAAGAACCAGTCGTGGCGAGTTGTACCCGGTCTGGATAAGTCTGGTTAAACCTTTTCAGTTTCACCTAACCGCAATACTGCACCAGGCGCTTACGTTAAACATTACACAGGAGGCGCTCTGTGAGAGATCACAGCAATCAGAATCACCACTCACGAGAATGCCGTATTCGATCTGTAGTCGGCGTCGGCGTCGGCCCTGCGAACACAGCGCACAAACCCCAATCCAGCCGCGACGCGAATTGCTCCCTTCCACCTAACCGAATCATCATCACTCTCGGGGTTACGGCATCCTCCGCCTGCAGCCAGATTTGCGGCGCATCCACGCCTGAGTACTGACGAAGGATAATGGCCCAGATAGCAGCCACAAGGTACTTACGCATGGGATGCAAAAGATATTTGATCATCAGCTCACTACCTACTATTTCTCCTGGCAGAGAAGCCCTTAACGCGTCCAGTAGATATTAATTACTACATAGAATACAGTCGAAATTGGTCGTAGGAGGAAAGAATTGGCCCTTTGTTATGCTCACGAATCTGCAAAGTAAAGCGCCGCGGATGGAGATATTCCAGGATTAAGGCTAAACTGAGGCGCTTTTAGTAATTAAAAGTAATGGTTTAGATAACAAAAACAGGTTGAAATGTCAATCTTAAGACAGCCATTGGGTGTATAAGGCTGGTATCAATGAGATGAATCTCCCCTAATTAGGTTTAGGGGATTTGGGGCTGTAATGGTAGGTGCTCGATACATTTTGCACCCCCCACCTACTCCACTACAAGTGTTTCTTATCTTCCACGCGTTTGGCCACTAGCTGGCAGTCCGCCGTGTCTCCAAGGGCTTGCATACCTCACCTTCGAAACGCACATCTATATTTTGAAATGGATACATCACCTAGGCAATCAGGTTTTAGGAGGAGGTCAACGAATGCGTCTGTCCATCATAACATATAATTGGTCCTTTTGCTGACCTGTTTGGTGTTGGGCAGATGCCAACGATGCCGCAAGCAAAAGATCAAATGTTCTGGATTTCACCCATGCAACACATGCCAGAAGCGGAGATTGACGTGTACATTTGATGATCGTGACCAGAAAATCCTTGTTACTCGGGGGTAAGTCTTGAAGGCAGTACCCTCTCTGCCAACGGCCCTGACACGACCGGCCAGGTTTATAGAAGACCTCCAGAGAAGGGTTGCAAACTTAGAACGCGAAGGCAGGAGCGGATGCAGCGTTTTGTTGAATGGTCTTTTGCATCTCTGGCGAGAGCCATTCCCATTCATACCCACCGGTCCCACTGATATTGATTAGGACAGCATTCTTATTCGCGTCAAAAACGATATTCGACGGTTTGATGTCAAGATGGGTCCGTCGTTGTGTATGCAATATTTCTAATGCTCTCCCAGTCTGAAGTGCCTATTGTCTCAGTAATGAATCATCTTGCTCCTTATTCTCTGCAAGAACTTGCTCAAGACACCCTTCAGAATAGTATTCAAGGAGAAATCCTGCGATGACCCGTGGCGAAATTGTTGGCTGGTGGGTTTTGTATGGATTTTCAGATATAACAACCCTGATTAGGTGTGCGATGTTCGGCTGTCCGTGAAGTTGGGCGAGAGCGTTAATCTTGTTCAATATGTGTTCTGTATCTCCTGGCTTATAGATCGTGCGGTTGATTTTTTTCTATGCGAACTGTTTTTGCTTGAAATGGACTATGGAAATGGTTGGAGCGATGAGCTTAATGTCTTCTAGTTGACTAGCCTCAATGGTAAGTAGATCTTGAGCTTGGTTCAGAGTTGGGTGTATAATTCTCCCTGGGTCTTCTTTAATCTGGAAGGACACTCGATGGGTAATAGACAAAAAATAATTTGGCTGTGTCTGCTCATTCCAAACATTCTGAATTGGGATTGGCTTATGGCTTTGCTCATACAAGGTTAGATTGATGTGTGTCACCGTATTGTCCATCAAATCTAATTGACCAAAGTTAATAGCCTTGACGAACTCATGAAACATAGACCGATGCTTGAAATAGCCTAACTTCAGTATTGACTCTGGTAGAGGCTAATCTATCTCAACTTTGATCCACCATGAAGAAGACTTGTTGTGGAGAATCAGGGTCTGTGTAGGATGATCACTATTATAATCTTGGAATGTTTTGAATTCTAGCTCATGTGATGAAGAATCAATATTTTGAGGCATCTTTGGATGAGAGGAAGGGATTTGACTTGTGTTTTGTAAATGTTTAAATTTGAGATGAATTGAATGAGGACAGGGAAAGGGGTGAGTGCTCATTAAGTACTAATGCTGCTATGAATGATCACATGTCACCACTGAACAGTCATTATATACTCTAACCCAGTGGTCGCATCTCATACTGTTATGATATGGTAACTACAGTGTTAACTGAAAAATGGTCCCTTACATGTACCTCATGTAGACAGATGGTCTGATAGGACGGGCATGGCATTGTCGAATTTTAGATTACAGTTCTTGTTGGAGGTCTCTAGTGTTGTGGTTGAAGTATACTGACAATTGATTGTAAAACAGACATAGTTGACTAGCTTCACAGACCCCTCCACTTCTAGTGCACGGTGGTGATTTATATACAAGACTCCGCTTTTCATATAACTCCCTCCTCGAATAAATTAGAATGCTTGTCTTGGTGCTATTAGCTTTCTTGGAGCCAAGCACAGTTGGATACGAGTCAGATAATGTGGACTGCGGACATAAGCCACAATATTGTTTTGAGTTGGCTCATTGACACATTGACACATTAGCACATGTGCCCAAGGCCAAACTCACTGGCTTGATTATGCAGCACCAGGAAGTGTAAGTGCGTCAGAAAGGTGATCGCACATCATTCGAAGGTCCTGGGCGTACCTAAGAGCGCCAGAAGAGCATATGTGCACTAGGAGGTGTAAGTACACTAGAAAGTGCAAGTGCACCAGAGCGCAGTGGAGCTGCCGCGCACGTGGTCAGAGACCTTTCAGCTGTAGTAGCGCTTGGCTAGCTTTGATGCCTCTCTTGGTGACCCGGCCAACATGTTCTCTGAACCGAAGTTGTTCGTCGAAGATGTCTCCTAGAAGTTTGACTGTATTGCTTGGGCAGATATTCTGTGTTCTAATGCGTAGTGCTTGTCTTGGGGAGGATTCCGTCTAGTAGTCCTTGTGAAGTGGATGGACTGGGTCTTCTGTGCTTCAAATATTATTGCCCCTGACCGCTTTGCCCATCCTAGAGCATACTTCAGCCTTGACATGAACTACCAGCTCGATGAGATTACCTTGTCAGATAAGGAACACCTGCTCAAAAGATCGATTCAACAGCTGCCCTTCCTCCAGAACGCCAAAGCCCACCCTTTGGTAGAAAGTCGGTGGCCTTCCTGCAGTCGCTTTGACCAGTAAGCACCACCACCGGTGCTTTCCCTGACTGCGAACCCATCGGTGAGAACATACCGATTCGAATTGATATATTGGAAGAAAATGGAGAACATCCAGGACAGGAATGCCTTCATCAAAAGAGCACCATCCCGCAAGGTCATTCTCCGCTCCGCTGATAATGAAAATCCCTCGAGTGTTCCCTTTGCGTTGCTCCTTTGGCTTAGCAACGCACCGCACATTGCAAGAGCGAGGTTGCGAGAAGCCCTGGTTCTGGGCGCGGCATTTCGCCCAGGCTTCTTCAATTTCTACCGCGTGCAGTTCCAACAGATCTCTGATACCGAAGAAGAATCCTCCATAAAACTGGCACCAGTGCTCTCCATGGAGTACCCTTACTGGGATAGGTTTCCCACTGAGCTCGAGCGCCCCAGGATGTATTCCATTACCGGATTTGACGAGTTGGCAGATATTCTTGCATTGCCAACCGCGCGGTACCTCATCTTTTAGATGCACACCCTTAAAGCTGTCATTCATTCTGATTCCTCCCGTCATCGACGCCCAGGACCATGAAGGAATACTGGGATGCGTGGCGCGTTGGGCCTTTGAATCGCACGGAAACCAGGCCAGATGTCTTGGAAAATAATCTAGAAAGAGCCCATGATAGTAGGTAGTTTGATTCCTCCTAGCAAGGGCGGAGGCTATGCCGTGAACCGCTGCCAACTTATCTGACTGGTATGTCAGGTTGCGGGCAGAGTATGCTTGAACCAGCTCTATCCAGGTATCAATCGGACGAGACACCTGCCCCATGCCAAACTCCGTTCTCGAAAACCTATCAGAAGATAGCGCCCCATGTTTCGATGCCTGCTCACCATAGCAGGTAAAAACCATACCAAGGCTTGTGAAATGAACAATTCGCCGGGATAGAATGTACTCCTGCATAACCCACCCCCGCTTCTGGAGAGGAGAGCCCTCAAGGTACATGAAGGACTGGTGGAACGCTGCGCTGTCAAGCACAAGGATAGATCCCACTGATGCACCTTTTCTTGGATCGAACCAGAGCTGAGCGGTTTGGAATGGCTGGCGGATCTTGAAAAGCCCCTCGCTTGAGTCATGGGCGGACTGTGCGGCAAAGCTGAGAACTGCATTTGCATATATTTCTCCCATAATCATTGACTCCTTATCCCAGTCTTCCTTGTCGTCTTGCACTATACAAAGGGAGTCAATCCATAGGTACGATATTCCCATGCAGTAGGATATCATTGTTGCATCTTGAAATGTCAGAGGCAAATCGTCAAAGGGAATGCTTCTGTAATGCTGCTCCTTATTCCCAACCTTGGTACAATATGGTCGCTTCCCAGGCGGTCCCCAGCAATGGCTTAACGTAATATAGTCGCCAATATGGGCCCCCCCGGTTTCAACAAGACTCACTAATGGGACTCCAACCTTGTTAGAATCAGATATACGAAGTAGCCGAGTCGGCCACGTAGTTGCAGCCGATGCTTCCAGACCTTCAATATCACCAGCGATAGACCGGTAGCATGCCCAATGGTTCCTCCGGCACTCCTCAAGCCATTTATTGATATATGGGGCTGCCATCCACGGCGCAACCACTTCTTTGCTCGCGGCGGCTTCCATGGCTAGGATGTCCTGGTTCTCAAAACGCCCAGATTCGAGGGCCGAGCTCCTTAGGTGCTTTGTCACTATTTGTGCCACGCAGAACAGAATTGAATCACTTACCTTTCGGCGCATATACACGTAGAACCGTCCTCATGGTGATACATTTGCCCCCTGTCTGCTCTCGATCCCATTCAGGAGATCCCCCTATAAGGGCTCCATAAATCAAAAGAATGGTGCCGTTTGAATCTCCCCTATAGAGCCCCATATAAAAATTCTCAAGATCGTACTCCGTTGCTTTGTCTCCAAAATATCTGTTGTATTTACGTTCATCCCCGCTTACATTCCTAAATAATTCATGTTAAGCCTGTGACCCTCTACAAAGCTTGGGTTCTCAGTACCAACTTAGAAATGCACGTTTCAAGAGGTGACAAAAGCTGCAAAATGCTGCTTGGTGTCGAAAATTCCTCAACGTTGAATGGTACCATGGCCTTTTTAAACGTGAGTTGGGGTGGGAAGACGCGGAGTATTCATCGTCTTCACCTGCCCGTCTTGGGAGCTTCTGAACCCGTACTTTCTGACATTGGGAACACAGAGAATTCATATCTTAGTGGACTGTGCTGTGAGATTGTGGACTTCGTGGGAGAGTAGGAGAGAAGGGAAAATCTTTGACCCCAAGGCTTGGAGTTTGATAGAGTGTACAGCTCAGTGAACTCACCAAGTCGCCAGGTCGCCGGGTCCCTTCATTATTTAAATACGATTTTCAATTACAAAAACTCGTATTGTTAATGAATTACTAGTAACTCACCCTTCGCGACCCGGCGTCTTCGAAGGAGTCTCTGTGTGGATACGGAGGACGACTCAAAGCCTGCCAGCGAGTACTCAGAATTTATGAATACGTTACATTGAAGAGACTCAAGTTACTTAGAAATCGAATCCTGCAACCTAGCATTCTAGCATCCTAGCTTGTATAGATAACCCGAACGATGAGTGCTCAACTATATTCAGGCCTGCAACCACCGGTGGTTATCACCCAACACCCAATTAAGAATCACTCTACCTAACTCATGATTATTTCCCCTTTGTCGTGCCCTGCAACAGCCTGCGATTCTTTGGAGTCGGGCTCAATTTGAGTGTGACGAGCAGTCTTCCATTAGCATGGGTCGCGCGGCCTCTTTGCCCTGTTTCCTGCTGTTGGGCCCGTTGGCGCGCCTGTTCTTGGGCCTGCTGCGCAGCCTTCCTCTTTGCCTCCTTTTCCTTCTTCTTCCCCTCCTCGGCTTTTCTTCCAGCCTCTTCTCGGGCTCGTGCTTGGGCCTGCTGCTCAGCCTTCCTCCTTTCCTCCTTTTGCTTYCTCTTCACCTCCTCGGCTTTTCTTCCAGCCTCTTCTCGGGCTCGTGCTTGGGCCTGCTGCTCAGCCTTCCTCCTTTCCTCCTTTTGCTTTCTCTTCACCTCCTCGGCTTTTCTTCYAGCCTCTTCTCGGGCTCGTGCTTGGGCCTGCYGYTCAGCTTTTTTCCTTTCCTCCTCTGCCTTTCTWMTRGCTTWCTCTTGWTCTCTTRCTTGGGATTGAGCTCCGCCTTTTTGCTCTGGATTTTTCCCATTACCAAGCGCCATAGCTTTCTCTTTTGATGGTGAAGTAGGTGTCAATTCTGGTATCAGTAGAGGGACAGCGGCTCTTGTACTATGGGGGCGAGAATGTTGGTCATGAGGGGAGGAGGAAAGAAGAGCACGATAATGCTTCGATAAAGAGCCCTTGATCCGATTTTTATGATAGAAGTAGATATAGAGCGAAGTAGCCAAAAAGGCGTGAAGGGGAGCTTTTTACTCCCCTAATAAATATCAAACAACAAGGCTAAGTATTCGCGAGCGGCGTCGTGTAACCTACTTTCTGTGGCACCCTATGCCAACAGCAATTTATGGACATGAAGGCGTGAATGTCACTGCCACACAATATCGATCAGCTTCGTCTCATCCCAGAAACCATTAGTATACATGCACCTATGTCACAAGGTCGCTGCACCAACGCACGTCTGTAATGGCGTGTCGCAGGGGGGTTGGTTCAGTTGAATTATCTTACTTGGCATAAGCAGCCCAACAAATATGAATTAATGCAAACAACATTTGCCGGGCCTCTGATCTTTCCTATTCAATGACACACATAGGCTTCTTATTACAAGGGAGTCAGCACAGAACATGAAGTTGATCACCTGGGCAAACGCTTTCATATCGATGCCTCATCCTTGACCAGAACGGTTTCACTTTTAATAAAAATCGGTTATTGGCGAGCCCTCTATTAGGCGAAGCTGGCCCAAGTCATAATTAGGGGTTGCCTCTCCAAAGCCTTTCAAAAGAGTGATCAGGGAGTGTGGGTGCACCAGGGAGTGTGAATGCACCTGGGAGTGTAAATACACCAGGAAGTGCAATAACACCAGGAAGTATAAGTACACTAGAGAGTGCAAGTGCACCAGGGAGTAGGTTGCACTAGCGAGTGTGAGCACACCAGTAAGTAGAGTGCACTGGGGAGTGCAAGTACACCAGGAAGTGTTTAAGGTCAGCATTAGTGTTGTATGACGGGTTTGAAAAGCTTCAAATCCATGGGTTTACTGGGAAGATCACGTGTAAATATCACATGGACTTGAAAACAGTCTTAATACTCTTACTGTCTTATCGTGACTGCTGTTAAATCAGGACTTGCTATTATGTCAACATTGTCAATGATTTTTAAGGCATAAATCCATTAATGAAATCCCCGATGTTAGCAAGGTAGCATCGTACATCAACCCGAAATGTTTTTTAGAAGGAACTATAATCTTCATCCAAGTTGGCGGTATATAAGCAACGCGACAAAGCCATTAAAACTAGATACATCTCATGCCCAAACAATGTTTGTTAGGCCATGCACAGAGGCGCTGAATGAGGTAGCCAAGAAATATGCCACTCCTTCAGCTAGTCACATACTGACATTGTGACAATGCACGAACAACGCATCTGCACGCCTGCGCCATGGACCCAGCCTGGTTTCCTTCGAATGCACTGTCTATGAGCGGGGTATTGGTCCGAGGGCAGATTCTGGTAGGCTGTGAGGGATTGAATCCGCTCGTATTTGCTGCTAACATATCTCGACAAGGCAATCTTGCATCACGCTTTCTTTTTTGTAAACTAGATCACCGCAGTGTAGGCCTTGTACCGAGTCGCGGATTGTCAGGTTTGGTCCGACTTTAAACTTGAAGCTCTGTGGCTCAGGCTCTAAGCCTCGAGATCTTTTTGCGTTATCTTGCAGCGCAGCCCCCTTGAATTTTTCACCGGGGTTGGATCCAAAAAATGGGATGACTCTCTTAGCAAATAAAAAGTATCAGGGAGTGTGATATATATGTAGGTGAGTCGCAAGTACAGGCGTCACTGTTGTAATGTGGAAGGACGTCTAATAATTACCCAAGAAGTGAATAGGGACCTCACTGCAAGATTAGCGTGCGGTTCAACAGTGAATATCTAAGACCAGGTACCCTTTGGTCCGCGTTGGAATTCTCCCAGCTTTACTTGAACCTAAGGAAGAACTTTCAGAGATTTTGAACCACCAGTTATAGTATTTTAGCTCTACATTGTCCACTGCAACCCCGATACCATAGCGACTCAACATCAATCCCCTTTTTCAAATGAAAATTATACTGTGGGATGGATCTGCGCGCTTCCGGTCGAATTTGCCGCGGCCAGGGGAATGCTTGACGAGGAGCATGGAGAGCCACAGAGTCCACCAGCCGAAGCCGACAACAACTCCTGCGTGTTGAGGTCTATTGGCAAGTTTAAAGTTGTTGTACCTGTCTTCCTCTACACCACTGGGCGCCTCTTCTGCTGCTGCTTCTGCAAAGGAAATGCTTTTCACCCTCCCGAATATCCGCGTTGGGCTTCTTGTTGGTATTGGCCCCGGCATTCCAGACGTCGACGACGATCCTGATATCTGTCTGGGTGATATCGTTGTCGGCAGCAGCTCCAAAATTGGAGGTGTCATCGTCTATGATTTCGGAAAAGAACTGTCGGACGGCTCTTTTGAAAGCCTTTCAGTTCTGAATCGCCCTCCACGATCCTTGGGCTCCGCTCTTACAATGCTTCAGACTCAGCATGCAATGAATGGAAACCAAGTGATGCGCTTTGTGGATCAAATACTGGAAAGTACCCCAGCATGCGGGACAACGGGTACACTCATCCTGGCTTATCATCTGATCGACTCTTTCTGTCTAGCTATCATCATGCTGGTGGGAAAACTTGCAAAAGATGCGAAGCATCTCAGCAAGTTGATCGAGAGCCCCGACTGAGTATAGGTCCGAAGGTACATTACGACACTATAGCATCTGGCAGCATAGTGGTCAAAGATCCGATCACTCGTAATAAGATACGAGAGAAGCATGGGGCAATCTGCCTAGAGATGGAAGCAGCGGGCTTAATGAATAATTTCCCATGTCTTGTGATCCGTGGCATCTCAGACTATGCTGACTCTTACAAGAATGACCGCTGGCAGCAACATATACAAAAGAATTCCTAGGGTGTGTGCAAATAAAGGATGTTGATGGAGAACCTACAGTGGAAGATATTATATATAAAGGTTAGTTCGAGATTCTAAGGATCGCTACTTCTAGATTTATTAGAAAGCTAAGTCTACAATCTGCATTTAGTCCATGAAGTTGTGAAAATCAGGAATCTTGCCACATTGGAGCAATATCAGCATATCATCGAATGGCTCACCCCCTTGAATGCCGATGATCGCAGAATGACATTTTGAAGAAGAGGCAAGAGGGAACGGGGCTTTGGTTCTTACAGTCGGAAGAATTCACTGAGTGGACAAGGCAACCAAAACAAACGTTGCTTTGTCCTGGTATCCCGGGCACAGGAAAGTCAATGATATCTGCTATTGTGGTTGAGTATTTGAAACTCAAATCCCAGGAGGACCCAGAAATCCACACTTGCTCCATTTTCTGCATTTATCAACCGAACCCTCAGGAGAGTGTCGTTGACCTTTTGCTCAGCCTTCTCAGACAACTGGTGGTCAAAGGGACATCTCTTCATCCGGGCATCGAAAACGTGTATGCACGTCACTCTCGATACAGAACACGCCCTTCTATGACGGAAATTAAAACCGAGCTTGTAAAGATAGCTCAGCAGTACAAAATTGTCTTCATTGTGATCGATGGCCTTGATGAGTACTGTTCCTCAAGCGCTGAAGAGCTTCAAAGACTACTCACAACCTTGTTCAGTCTTCAAAAGGAGGCCCCTTTAAATATTCTCGCTACCTCCCGACCTCATTCACAGATACTGCTAAGGTTTCAGGGGTCTGAATTCAGGAAATGTTGAATACATGGCGCGATCAATTGCAGAAGCCTTGGAACGAGGACCATAATGCATTTGTGAATTGATCTGTTTAGAGCTTGGTTAAATACAGGCTGGCGTGTGACTGGATATTCATAACTTGACTATGCTGTCCACAGAAGTCATGGCAAGTGCCAACATAGCTTAGACAGTCTTGTGACATCATCATGATACGCTGGACACATCTCATGCCTAAAGTAATCGCATCACGAGTGTTAACTCTTTTGGAAGGCGCCCTCTTTCATCTATGATAGGTACTTTAGCATGTCCCTGGCTATGGGCCAGTCTGCAGGCTACATTGATGTCTATAATGCCTTTGGACTTATTAACTATTAGATTTTATTTTCCATGTGTTTTCTGGGTATTAGTAGAACTCGGATGACTATGCATTTCCTAAGAAACGTTGAGCAAAAATTTCAAGGAAAGGGAGGAGGTTACAGTGTCTTTGATTGATAACCAGTCTGGATTGGCTGCGTCTCCTTCCTTTGAGACATTCTTCACACGAGCAAGTAATGGCACTGCTGTCTCCAATCGTCTTTTCTTATACTTTGCATCAAATGGCAGACCTTGCTTCTGCTATGGGGAGATGGATCTGGCAACTGCTTGGACATCCCACATAGACTGGATCAAGGCCATAGATACTAAACACTGAACCCAAAGACTAGTGCTTTCATAGTCAATCGAGCACACTGCACCACAGGTTCATATAACTACCCCACATTAAACCTGCGGTATACGAGGGAGTATGTAGAATACCCACTCAATATATTATCATGAGCTCCTCTTTTTTTTTTTTTTTTTTTTTTTTTCTCGACGAGAGGCATACAACCACAAACCGAAATACAAATCAAAACATCCGCTGCGAACGATGCAGGATCCTAGCCTTGGATTGGCCAATTTGCATGATGTGGGGACGGTCCGTGTACGGCCCGGTTCATCAGCCAATTCAGCCAGGTGTGTCCGGCTCACGGCCCGTGAAGCATGAGTTGATCACTCCTTGTCTTCGATAGGGATATATAGATGTCAATATGTGCGGCCAATTTGAGCAATGGAACTCAAAGTCGAAGATCCTTCAATTTGCCTCAACCTCAAATAACGCGAAACATGAACAGGAAAGACGCCTTCATCATCGTCGGCGCTGGTGCCTTCGGGCTCTCCACGGCCCTAAGGCTCGCTCAAGATGGATACACATCTGTCACTGTCGTTGATAGATGCATGCCTCCAGTTCCAGATGGGAGCAGTAACGACATCTCCCGCGTCATTCGATTCGACTACGGCGATCCAGTCTACGCTCGAATCGCCAAAGAGGCTTACGACCAGTGGAAGACGCCCCAGTACTCCGAGGCGTTTCACCAGACGCCTTGTCTCTGGGTGTCGCAGGAAGGAACCTTGGAGCAACCTGTGCAGCCCCGTGCGGCGGAGTACAGCCGCAAGACGCGGCAGGTATTGACGGAAATGGGGCAGGAGTGGCATGCCGTTTCCAGTGTCGAAGAGGCGAAGAGACGGTTCCCCGCTTTGAGTGGGAAGTTGGCAACGCCTGGCTTTGACGGGTTTTACAATACTAATGCTGGATGGGCGGACGCGGGACTAGCTGTTCAGAGACTCGCCAGTCGCTGCGTGGCAGCGGGAGTCAGCTTTATTACCGGTCCGAATGGCCATGTCGTCGAGCTTGAGTATGGACGGGATGGAGTGGTTGACGCCGTTCGGACTATCAACGGCAACCGCATCACGGGCGACAGATTCATTATTGCCACCGGCGCCTGGACGGGGAGTCTCATCCCCTCTTGGAACTCGATGATGGCTACTGGACAGGTTGTTGGATGGCTCCGTCTGACCCCCGAGGAAATGATTCGACTTAAGGACCTCCCCATCTACTTCAACTTTTCAACCGGCTTCTTCTGTTTTCCCGTCCATGAAGCCACGGGGTACCTGAAAGTCGCGGTCCACGGGTTCGGCTATACGTCGCCACATCCCAAAGCTGTATCTGCACCCCCAAGCTCGGCTGTCTCTGCACGAGCCAACTTCATACCCGCAGACGGTCTGCAACGACTGTTAGCCGGGCTGAGGGATATCTTGCCCGAACTTGCGGAACGGGGATTCGAAAAAGTGGGTTTGTGTTGGTACAATGACACACCTACCGGGGACTTTATTTTCGATTATCATCCTGAGCACAAGAACTTGTTCATTGCCACAGGCGGCAGCGGACAGTAAGTGGGCGCCTAGTATACCCKTATGCAACGGATCTGACTGAATCATAGTGCTTTCAAATTTCTCCCTGTCCTTGGGAAGTACATTGTCGGTAGTGTCGAGCGGAAGCTTCCGAGAGAACTGCTCGAGAAATGGAAATTCCCAACACAGTTCCGTGAACGGTTCCGAGATGACACATTTCAAGGCGATGGCAGCCGTGGAGGCCCCGAGAGACGAGAGATGACACCTCAGGAGCGCGAGCTGTATACTGCTGCAATGACTGCATCAGTCCGAAGAAGTAAGATCTAGAAGGTCAGGAAGGAAATACGTATGATCTTCGATGCTCGTACATAATGCATGACGTTGATTAGCCTAATGTGAAATGCTTCTTTGCTTGAAATGAGCCCAGCACGTCATGTCCCTTTCTTGCACAACGTATGAAGTGGTCCAACGGCAGTCCTAAGAATCATTTCGCATCTCATACGCAAACACGCCTGACGAGAAGTACTCATTCACACCTATGATACAGACGGGGTGAGGATTACTGTCTGTGGGCCGAGATGTCGACTAGTCAAGGCACGCAGGTTAGAATCATAACTGCTCCGGCAAATAACCTCCAAAGAGCAACCAGTCCGCAGCATCAGGCATCGCCAATCCCAACTCATCAGTATTTGATATCGGCCACTCCGGTGGAAGATAATGCTCAAGAGAGTCTGTAGCCGGCCGATGCTCTTGAGCTCGTGGTCTTGGAAGATCAACCATTACCTCCCCTACTACATCATGTCCTGTCGATGAAGAATCATCACGAGGCAGCAGCACAGACACTCCTCCCATATGCTGGTCGCCTGCAGAACTGGAGGCATCGAATATAGATGCCTTAGCAAAGCCACAGGACGTACCAAAGTCAAGAATATCCCACATTAAACCCTCGTCCTCAGCAGACATGCGAGGTAGATCAGACGAGGCTGGCATACAGGGAAGAATGCCGGAGAACTCTTCCTGATTATCGTAGAGTGAACCATAGTTCTTGCGTCGTTCAGCAATTTTGTTTAACCGGTCGGCCTGAAGAAGCATTAGCACTGCTACAATAGCCAATTTGGGTTCACGCACCAAGACTCCCATGTTCCCCCAGTACGCAGATAAACCAGTCACGAATGCCACCAGCGTTTCGTAGTCATTCTTGGCCAGGCGGGCAACTTGCTGCTTTTTACTCTGAGTATGCTCCAACTGAATCGTGGCCGCAATCGCGCAGAGATACCCAATGAATGGGTCATAGAGCTTGAAGTCCACCTCGGCCATCTCCCGCACAAACCGGGCAATCCATCTGGAATGAATTACGGAGCTCTCGTATGATTTCTGCAGAAAGGTAGAAGGTATGTTCTGCCCGTACTGGCGAAGCTTACCCGTGATGACGAATGGGTGGTGCAGTAATGCCTGTACCGAATGGAAGAGAAATTGAACGCATAGCCAGGTGGACAAGTAGGCACGCGAGCCCCGCTCCTCGCGCGCCCGTCGGCAAAAATCAACATTCACGTAGCGGTGTGTATCCGCGAATTGCGTTTGGAATTGCATCCAGTCTGATTCTAGACCTGCCCATGTCGAGCCTGACTGCCATGGGGGGGTTCTATCCTGATCAGAAGGCTCGAAGACGTACTCTGTGAGCTTACCCCAGATAGAGGAAAGCCGGATGAGACACGCCAGAATCCCGTCATCTACCTTTTTTCCTAGTTTCCCAGGCCCATCGCACAGTCTACCACATGAGGTTGAGCATCCATGGGTTGTCCCAGACGCATTCGGAGAAGGAAAGGGTAATGTGAAATGCTTGTCGCTCAGGCAGATTGAATAGGTCCGGGAGGCGTTGTAATTGCGGTCAAGCATGAAAAACGCCCATGTAATGCGCTTCCAGTCTTCTTGATCAGCTCTAGTCTCAATCGAGGTATAGCCATCGCTTCTGTTCAGCCCGGCTGACTGTAGCGCTCGAAGTGCAAGGGCGACACTATTGTAACCTCGATCTGACCGACCATCAGAGAGATCTAGTTGCGCCATCAGGAACGTGCCCTGCAGAAAAGGTAGACACAGGTTGCCTGTTCTATACTGATTGGCCAGAATGTTCCAAGCCGTATTAGTACAATCAGCTGTATTTGGCGCATATGACCGCGAGTCCTCAGAAAATTTGCTGGCCAGACGAGAGGTGAGGGCGACGAGAGGAAACATGACCGCTGAAGGCAATTTTTCCGCGTCTTTCATCAGCTTATCTCTCGAGAAGACACAATATGGCTGGTCATAAAAGTGATCCAGGTAAATCTCTACCTGAGATCTGATGTATTCCGGTTGAAATGGGGCACTTAAATCCATCATTTACGCAGTTCATCGCAATGGGAATGAAAATCACCAAATACATACCATGGCATCCTTTCTCCTGAACTAGGATTGTCTGTTCTTTCAGATGCTCTATCCACGGCACTGCTTGTCGGCAACCTCTCTCTAGTCGAAATAACATCAGCATGATTGAAGCTGATGATGAGATGCGTTTGAGCTTGCGGAGAACGTACTGGAGAAGTGTCGCCATCGCATCCAGCCTCTGTTCGATACGCTGGAACTGCTGAGCATTTGGCGCATTTCCTGGTAGCGCGTCATCTGGCGTGCGCGGCTGGTTGAGCCCTAAGGGAGCTCCCAGTGCTGCGCCATTGGCTGCCCGCTGCGCGTTGTATGAACAGCGCTGACCAAGTCTCCGACATAGTGAGCAAGTCGGCTTCTCGCCTGGACAACGAGCCTTTTTTCGACTTGACGCAGATATTGCAAGTTAGTTGCCTGCTTTATGATTGACGGAATCACGTGGGTAGGTGTCAACGGCCAAAATCGCCCCTTATTAGATGTACGTACCGACATGGTCCGCATGCCTGACGTGTACGTTGTACTGATACTTTATGGACAGTACGGTTGTCATTTGCGGCATTCATTACGAATGGAATTTACAGTGGAAGGTCAGATTGTCGTCAATAGAGAGGAAATTTGAAGAGCCACCATGGAAGCAAATCACGGGCTACTATTATCGGAGCACGTGAGCAGACGCCTTGGCCAATCAACGTCCTCCATATTTTAACTATCAATTGAGTAATCACAGACATGATGTTCAGATAAATTGTCTTGGGAAACACCTAAAAGTAAATATGAATTGGGCTCGGTACCCTGTTAGCTCATAGGACTGAGGTGCTCTGCCATCACCATCACTGCATAGCCAGAGATTTCCTTACTCGTATAACATGCTTGTATAAATGTGATTATGTGGCTGCGGCCCCCTAGCTCTCACACGACTCACGGCTGCCCTGACCTTTACCCCAAAAGCTGGACAGGGTTAAATGCCACGAGTGCATACGCGAAAAAGACATCTGATCATGAATACACAGTAGTCGAAATCTGTTCTTCTCTCTCATCATTGCCAGTTTGTACTTGTATTATGATTGTCAGTTAGCTGTTGTCAGTCCTTTAGCCTCGTACTAAAGAAATCCTTTACCTTTTCTTAAGATTAAGAAAGTCTAAGATACTAGTAACTAATATATTTATTTAGAAGATTTTATAGCTACACTTAAAAGACATATACATCTAACTCAAGTTAGTAGAGTTAGGGGTGGGTTGGGTTCGGATGGGTAGAGCTACTAGAGCCTAGTTGGGCCCAACCCGGAGCGGGTTCGGGTCCTAGACCTTAGAATGCGCACCAACACCTGAACCCGCGCGGGTTGGTGCGGGTTACCCGCTAATGGACCCGAACCATGGGCTGTCAGTCTATCTAGGGAGGCGGTCGCCCTAGATATTGATTTAATATCTATAGGGTCGAATAGGTGATGGTTGAAAATCATTCATAAACCATGGTAGTTATTACAGGGTAGCACTTTACATATATATCTCCACACCACACCAATTTCATGCCAATCTTTGATAGAAATAATTATCCCTTATATCTCACTAACCACCACGCCACGTACCCTCATGAGTCATATCCGCCGAATTTCCGTCGCTCTAGACCTCCAATGCTCAAATACAAGGAGCAGAAAGTAAGTCTTGGTCCCTTTGTGTGACGAAGGGGTCTTCTGGTAATGCTGACCAAGAATAGCAGGACGGATCACTGGCTAACAGTTATAGCACATCCAGTCAAGAAAGTAAAACACGACAATATTCCCTTCAGAAAACTCAACGCAATCAATGCCTACAGTGGATATGCCTAGCACCGTATCTCCCCGGCAACCTCCTCTCAGGATTCAGACAACGAACGCGGAGACAACAAGACACAACAAGGCAAGGGAAGATTTGACTCCGAATGTGCTCTTAGTGAAGCGCATAGCACTGTTCTCATCTGCGGCCGTCGCTCGTGGTGGTGAGGTGGAAGATACAGAACTCTTCCTTGTGGTTGAGGTTGAGTTTGATGTAGCGGAGTGACCCGTGGGCTTAGGATAAGATATCGCCGTAGCTGTAGCGTTCGTTTCACCATAGCACCAGACATCCTCCCACTCTATACCGGCATTGTAGAGGCAATTGATAAGGTCTTGAACTGATTGGTCAACTGCGAGGGCGTACAGGGCGCAGTCGTTGTAGTACGGGCGAACTCCAGCAGGTTCTGCGCACCTGTCGAAAACAGACCTGTAACTGTCGGTATTCGGAACACCACAAGCAGCGTCGTTGACGGGGAGCTCATATTGTTCTGGTCCCGTGCAGGCACCTGAAATGGGTGCCATACCTGTAGCCGTTGCGGATGCCATGTGGACGTTTCAAAGGGCGAGAAGATGAGGAAAGGACAGCAATTTAAGTATTTTCTGTTGGCTTGAATGAGTTTATTTCGGAAGAACGGCGCCACTCCGGTTCAAAGCGCGAAGAATCCGGCCTTATTATATGCCCGTGACGCCTTGAGGACATTGGTATCGGGTTAGTAGCTAAATTTAGTCGGCCTACCAGACCGACCTCCCTTGGTAGCAGTTCCGAAAGTGGTCCTCCGTAGTCAATATTAGGGTCTCCTTATTTGTTTCTTTTCCTTCTTTTTTCTTTCTCTTTTGAGGGGGGGCTGTCGGTTTGAGGCTTCAGCCAGCCTCGTTTGAATGGTTTAAAATGCCCAATGTGACAGACAGAACTCGAAGGCTTAGAAAGGTACTTATATCATTTCTTTAGCTGTTTGAGAGAAAAGGGACGGATGAATGTTGCTAACTCTGAAGCTCTGATGCTAGTTGTCGGCAACTTGCGACGTGCTCCAGCGTCTGACTGACTGAATGACGAAGATACACAACATTTTAGATGATTTGAGAGAGGGTTTCTGCAGTACACGCCTAACGTAGCTCAACTAATCAACCTTATTCAGTCCATGTCTTAAATCATCCTTTCAGCACATTCGCTTCGAAGATCCAAATTCGAGAGGCATCGGCCTTGTGGATCAGGGCTCAGGATGTATACCGGAAATTCTGCTTCTAAAATTCTCGTCTGCGCCTGTAGATAAATACCAAAGATCAGCTAAGCTTCAGCGATGCCTTGAGGTGCGTCTTGCCTTTGGCAGATCAAACCGAAATCCAAGTCGTATTTCAAGTTTATAACTGCGGCTGATATTGCAAGTCTCAAATATCGGTGTCAGCGTGTAAGGGATCCGGTGGTTTGTCCAAAGGCCGTTATGGACTCCTAGCCTTGATTGAACTGATGTGTCTCCACGAGACACCAGTTGCCATACATTTGTTACCGTTTGGATGACTTTCCAATGCTTCCTGGTCTCAAAATTGGCCTGTGCCCGTATGTTGGTCGTTTCGATGATCATTGATTGGAAGTCATTCAGAAATACGTCGCATTGCGTTGCCCTTCTCTTTGTTATATAGACCTCGAGCGGAATCGGCTGGCCTAGAAAAAGAAAGCCCCCGTTTGCGAGTTTGATGTCAACTTGGTAGGCGGCAGAGTTGGGTATTTCGACATCTTTTCTACCGATGTCAACCAAGCGTCGCTGCATAGTGAGACTATGATCAGGAGGAGGACAGAAGGAAGAGACAGGATAGAAGTATATTTTCTGACTCTAGGTCCGAAAATACTTAGTGATGACTCGTAGTGCGGGAGTTGTCATGCGACGGGGAACACTCAACTGTTGTTAAGGGCGCGTTCATAAAACCACCCCTGTTAATTGATACATTTACAGAGTATGCAATTTCTTCAGCGGTCACTCCGTTTCCCATAGAGGGAGGAAGTCTTCGCAATAAGTGAAAGCTTTTTCTGTTGCGTGGCCGGGTATTTTCACAGCTTTCCGGGGCCTCACCTTCGTCCATGCCCTCCTTGTAGCATTCAGACACTTGAGGAAACTAAAGATTCCGTAAATGATCAGTGATTCAGCGCCGATATAAGGCAAAGGACACGGTAGGACMAGCTACCCTTATGGAGAATGGAAACGTGTGCACTCCCTTGCGCAATGTCTTATACCGTGAAGTTGAGCCCTTGAAGGCGGCTAAAGGCGGAAAAACTTGTTCAGTTCTCTGTAGCAACTGCGATACGTCAGAGTTAAAAGCCATGATCGAATCTGAATGCATACATGGTGGGATTCAGTGCGATTTTTCAACGTCAACCTTGTCGTGGCTGAGCCAGAAAGTGTGACGTTTATGGTTGTTATATCCATTGATGACTCGCACAGGAGATTAATGCGACCAGAGACACAATCCAGATTTGTATAGGTAGGCTCTGGTTTATCCAGCTGTATCTCGATCTCCGCTCGCGAAGGCGAGGTCAGGAGTTGCTCTAATCGGGACAACATAAGGAGTTACACAGATCAACTGAGTTTACTCCCAATATAAAAAGGGGACTTAGGTTACTCGGATGAGCTGTAATAGGAGTCGGATAAGAGTAGGTATTCAACTCAATGAATTCGCACCCAAGTGGAATTTGATATCAGAAAAGTAATATCGGGCGGTCGCTTGCAAACCGGAAGAAGAAGGTAAACTATCTAGCAATATGGAGGCTGATATAACGGCCGCATATTGTAGGCTATACTTACGATACTAGGCCAGCCGAACCCAAACCCTCGGACGCTGGAGATCAGCTCGCCACCTGAGTTGATCTTGATGAAACTAGATTCGAATATCAAGCGAGGAGTTTCGGACGAACTCCGGTTATAAATATCGGATTTGACGGCCAAGATTTACTTCCAGGTAGGCTTAACATCTGGCGCCCGCAATTGGTTCGGCATAAGAGTGGGTCTGCGGTGTCCACCTGGGCAATCAATCAGTTCAGAAGTATAGGGGCCCAGCTGAGAATATGCGGGTCTGTGAATTCGAATTGTMAGAAATGAACGAGTCTGCAATGTAAGATATATTATCTATAACTTACGGGAGATTATCTACGACTCTGGGCAGTCTCTCACTTAAACCCCTCCACCACCCCAACCCGGGGGGACGATTTCGATTCATCAGAACTATATTAGGTCATGGAGAACTACTGGACAGATCTGGCATCTGAGCCTACTGAGTTCGACGGCTTGTACACACCGTCGTCTCGCGATAGCTATCCTGAGACGGTGAGTCCTCTCCAGAGACCTCATCCGATGCAGTCCTAACGACTAGGCGTGCAATACCAGCGCCAGTCCAACCTGGGGAAGCTAGGTCAGAAGGAAATGCATGCGCCACGAGCCTCTTTCCCAGACCCTTATTCCAATCCTACCGAAAATTTTGTCAGCCATCCTCCGAGCTGGGAGGGTCCTGAACAAGGATTAGGCCCGGGAGCGCGACTTAGGGAGGGATTTCGCTCAGCGCCCTATTGCACTGAACAGAACTCCTTTGTGGCTTCATCATCGTCGCAGAAACGTCAAACCAGCGCTGCAAGCACTCTGCGTCGTTTACCAACACGCAAAATCAAATTGGTCCAAGGGTCTGTGCTTAGCGTGGACTATCCGGTCCCAAGTGCAATTCGCAACTCCATTGAGCCTAAATATCGCGATGGCGGGGATGTCAGTGTGGAGGAATTTACACACCTACGATGTAAGTGAAGAGAATGCCGCGAGGCTACAGTATATCCGTCTAATCGTTTAGATACGGCTGCCACATGTGATCCGGACGACTTCACCCTCCGCAATGGATATAATCTCCGGACAGCAATGTACAACCGACATACAGAGTTGCTTATTGCTATAACATATTATAATGAGGACAAAGTGCTCACGGCGCGGACGCTACATGGGGTGATCCAGAATATTCGGGAAATTGTCAACCTCAAGAAGACTGAATTCTGGAATAAAGGAGGACCTGCGTGGCAGAAGATTGTGGTTTGTCTCATATTTGATGGTATAAATCCCTGTGATAAGGACACACTCGATTCTCTGGCAACCATTGGTATTTACCAGGATGGGATAATGAAACGGGATGTGGATGGGAGAGAGACTGTCGCCCATATTGTTTGTATTCCCTATTATGATCCTGAAGGCCCACTTCTAATATTCAACAGTTTGAATATACAACCCAGTTATCGGTCACTCCATCACAGCAACTAGTTCGCCCCCAAGGTAAAGACGACCCGACGAACCTACCTCCGGTACAGATGGTCTTCTGCCTCAAGCACGCAAATAGCAAAAAGATCAATTCCCACCGATGGCTATTCAAAGCCTTTGGGCGCATCCTTAATCCCCACATTTGTATTTTGATCGATGCAGGCACGAAACCGGGCCCTAAATCCCTCCTTGCATTATGGGAGGCGTTTTACAATAACCACGACCTGGGTGGAGCATGCGGGGAGATTCATGCTTTGCTTGGTCCACGATGGGAGAAACTGGTAAATCCCTTAGTTGCGGCCCAGAATTTTGAATACAAGATCTCCAATATTCTCGATAAGCCACTCGAAAGTGCCTTCGGCTATGTCAGCGTCCTTCCAGGGGCATTCTCTGCCTACCGGTACCGAGCTATAATGGGTCGGCCGTTGGAACAGTATTTTCACGGTGACCATACCCTTTCCAAGAGACTCGGCAAGAAACGGATTGAGGGGATGAATATATTCAAAAAGAACATGTTCCTGGCTGAAGACCGCATCTTATGCTTCGAGCTAGTTGCAAAGGCGGGTCACAAATGGACTTTAACGTACGTGAAAACATCGAAGGGGGAGACCGATGTCCCTGAAGGTGAGAAAGATGAAACCCGGAAGGATACGACCGCATCTGACCTTTCTACAGGCCCTGCTGAATTTCTGGGCCAAAGACGGCGATGGCTCAATGGCTCCTTCGCTGCGAGCTTGTACTCTATCATGCACTTTAACCGCATCTATAAGAGCGACCATAGCATCATACGACTGCTGTTCCTCCACATGCAGTTGGCCTACAATGTTTGCCAGCTCATTATGACATGGTTTGCACTTGGTATCTTCGCCTCTTTGTTTACCCACATGCAAAAAACTAACAGGCTTTAGCTGCGTATTGGTTGACCACCTCTGTTATCATGGATATTGTGGGAACACCGAGCGCTACAAACAAAAACAAGGGTTGGCCGTTCGGCAACGACGCATCGCCAATTATAAATAATGTAATCAAGCTCACGTATATGGTGTTCCTTCTCCAGCAGTTCTTTCTCGCACTAGGGAACCGGCCGAAGGGGTAGGTGCTCCAAGTCGTTTCCAGGAAGGTCCGTCTCGTTTACACATCTGATGTTAGGTCTAAAGCCCCGTATCTGCTAGCATTCGTCTATTTTGCAATCATTCAGATGTATATCCTCGTTCTATCCTTCTATCTTGTGGCATCGGCATTCACTGGAGACAGTTTCGATCTCGATGTCGGTAACGGAGTTGGAGGCTTCGTCGGGTCCTTTTTCACCTCGACCAGCGGGCTCGTCTTACTCGCGTTGGCGTCGACCTATGGAATCTATTTTATATCCAGCATTCTCTACCTCGACCCCTGGCATATGCTAACCTCTTCCTGGGCATATTTCCTGGGAATGCCCGCGTCTATAAACATCCTGATGGTCTATGCCTTCTGCAACTGGCACGATGTCTCGTGGGGTACGAAGGGATCGGACAAAGCGGACTCCCTTCCATCTGCACAGACGAAGCAGGCAGACTCCATGACCAGCTTTGTAGAAGAAGTAGAGAAATCCCAAGCAGACATAGATACCGAGTTTCAACACACCGTGCACCGCGCACTTACGCCATACCGGCCACCTGAGGAGAAAGAGGAGCCGAGTTTGGAAGACTCGTACAAGACTTTCCGAACTAATCTCGTACTTGTTTGGACCCTGAGCAATGGCTTATTGGCGTTGTTCATCAACAATGCTGGGGTACAGAATTTATGTCTTACTGTGAGTTTGCCAGTTTTACACTTGCACTTGATGCTAACTCGCTGTCTAGACTACATCAACTAACCGCACAGCATGGTACTTCAAAGTAATCCTGCTCACCACGTCTGCTCTGTCGATTTTCCGGTTTGTGGGCGCTCTGTGGTTTCTTGGAAAGGCTGGGCTTATGTGTTGCATTTCACGGCGGTAGACGTTTTTCTGTATGACACGCTTAGTGTTCAAAAATTTCTTATGATCTTCAAATCTTTTTGTTTCTCTTTTCCCCATATAATATTTTTGCCGGTTTCTGCCACTGGTCCTAATATCGTTGGACCCATGCCAAGATTGCGACGGGATCCAAGCGAGTTCCTGCGTATGTACACACTTCTCGTTTCTGGTGGCAACATTTTCAGGGCAAACAAGAGAATATTAGTGTTCTATTAGTACCCTGTAGGGCTGTGCAGTGTCTAAGGTTGATGCCCGTCCAATTCCTAAAATATCCACGAACCACAAAGAGCGCTTCTCTTTGCCAAGCTGAAACAGCGGAGTTGCCGAATTTCACCCTGAGACCCATTTCGGTCAGTTTTTTGACTAATAAAAAAGCGTAAATTTCTCATGGCAACCAACTCTGCTTTAGTGACCCGCAATTTTTTCAAATAGTTGAGACTGGAAATGTCCGGCAGTCCTTTGATTGCAATGCTATTATTGTTCCGTTGAATATACAGTGACTGCCTCCATTACCATAACAAGAAGGGACCATTCTCTTTTCGCCTTTTTTCGGGCCGGCTGCCCCTCCCTTAATAGTTGGGTGTGAAGCATGGAAAGCGCGTTAGGTGAGCAGCGGGCATTGCAGCCTTACCAGTTATCCTCTGCGGTGAGATATCGTATCTTGTTGCCATGGAGCAATATATCTGTCTAACCGTTTCTCCACAGTGCGACGCATGCCACTCTCGAAAGGTGTGAACTTCCAGACAGATTCCGCACCTTGTTCCCCGTAGTAGCTGACACTGCTCTAGGTTCGCTGCGATAGGGATTATCCTTGCGGAAACTGCCAGGACCAGGGGACCGCCTGCACCCACCATCGAAGAAGGCGGCGTCTGCCGAAGAGACCAGCGCATCCGACGAAGAGAAAGGCCAAGGTAAGCCATGAGGACCGAAATTCTTCCGAGGCATTTTTCGAAGCTTGCGATTCCCTGCAAGGACCAGCCGCAGAGGAACTGGGAGACTTTGGTGTCGGTGGTGTTCTGTGTGAAACGAATTTCAACTTGCCCGGCCAGGTTTTGGAACAGCACGTGCTCTGGGGTTCAAACATGATGAACGACTTTCGTAGTTGGATGTCGGTAATCCCACTCACCGATGCTCAGTTAGGGAATCAACGTCAACTGGAATGCCTTGGAGGTCTTGCCTGGACTAAGCAGCACGCTATTGAATCCGCCCTGTATGTTGCGCGACAAGCTTTAAATCGTGTGGAGGCGTTGGAAAATCTCCTTGCCGACGGCAGTAATGCAGGAGAAATCTGCGACGACGTGCCTTCGGTGGAGTTCCTTGCCTGGATAGTAAAAGGTACTTTCTGCGCCCCTCCCTGTGTTATAAATAAATATGCGGGAGACTAATATCTCTAATACTGAATAGACGTGGGTAGTGACAGGTTTGGATCGTATGTATTGGATTACTTCAAACACATATCCCTGTCGACTCTGAAGCGCATGGAGCTGTCCTTGATCAACAACGATGCATCATCCTCTGACTCCATCCTTTTCACGGTCTGCGTCAATGCCGTGGCTTGCAAGTTTCTTACTACAGTGTTGATGGCCGATGACCATGGCGAGCTCTCCAGAGAGATCCGCACAAAGGCATTTCGGTACCGAACTTCGGCTCAGAGAGCACTGAAGAATATTCGCTTGTTAACTGCACCCTCCCTTGCTCTCCTACAAGCCCTTCTATGTGGGGTAAGTTAACCTGACAATTCAAGCTTGTATTCCCCCTTCTTACGCCTACGTAGATATTTTTGCATCAGCGCTCCGGTGACACGCAGCTCTGCAGTGAGCTGACACGGACTGCCTGTAGGGTTTGTGTTGATCTCTGTCTCCCTGATGCAGTAAATCGACAGCAAGCCAGTGAAGAAGAGTACTACTGCGTTATGTGGTGCTACATGCTGGACAGAAGCTATGCCTGGAAACTCGGGAGATCTCGATATTTTCCTGACGTCAATTTAGAAGCTAACAAGCGGGATTCGTTGCTGAACAATATTCCAGTCTCCGATCTTCTTCAGGTCTACATGAATCTTGCTCAAGTGCAGGATTCTATAATCCCTTTTCTCGGAAACCTCCCTTCTTCGCACGGGGAGGATTTTCCTTCATTCTACCTGCTACGCGAGCAGCTGATCCCTCAAATGGAAGATATTCGAAGTAAAATAGAGCAGGTAAGTCATGGCTTCCTTAGCACGGAGCATACACCCTAACCTGATTGACTTGCTGGAGATTGCTTTGCCTTCTCCGAAGTGGAGGGGTCTAGATGTACACAGTGAAGTCGCGGCGCTGAACTTCGCCTATCATTCTGTCATGACAACCATTCTCCATTTATCTCAAGTAGTCCCGAATCAGCATCCGGAAGCTGGGAAACTATATCTTCAGTCTGCCCGGCAGGAACTATCAGCTCTAATATCTATGTGCCGCTCAAACGACAATGAGAACACTGCAGCTTTTTTGCATTGGTGAGCAAACCGTCTTCCCATTCTTTTCTTGATCAGCTGCTAACGGGTTTCGAGGACCCTACTGTACTGGCCGCTAACGGCTTGCTTCGTTGTATTTTGCAACGCTGTTACTACATCTGATCTGGGTGATTTTACCCTCTTAAAAACAGCAGCAAATTGCTTGTTCCCAAGTAGCGCCATCAGTCGGCCCGTTGCAACTCTGCAGCGATTCTTCCAAGAATTAGTCTCTCTTTCGCAGGCCTCCTTCACCGAATCAACTTCTGTAGCGTTTTCAGACGAAAGGGCGGTCCAGCTGCGGCCAGCGCAACTGGAGGGAACTACTTCCCAAGGCATCACGGCGGCGCGGACTTGCACAAACTCGGGAGATGTTTGGGACGAGGATATTATTCKGAGTACAAGCAATCATAATATAGATTCATCAGCTATGATGCTGCATGATATCTTTTCCCCTGGAGACTTAAAGATGGTTCTAGAGGCATCGGCTGATCTGTGGAGTTTTAGTTCTCTGTGAAGGGTGAACTGAGAATCGATATGCCTCACAATAAGAACATGGATGGACTTGTGCAATAAAATCTTTCTTCTGTGAAGCACTTTGCAGGCATCGGCAGTTGGGGTCGGCACTCCAGGGGGAAGACCAGACTGGAGATCACATCCAATGCGTTGTGCCAGGCATTTTTGACGGAGGACCTAGTGCTGAGTCGCTGACAGAGGTAATTTAGCGTTAAATTGAGTTCGCCGGGTCGATCCCGCAAACCATGATAGCCTTAACAGTAAAGTAAGCGAACTGCCCACAAGCTCAAGTCTTTAAATCATTGTAGGCAAAAAAGCCATTCCTCTTTAATGCAGTACCATCTATCGCCGTTTACCAGAGCAATACTGGACAAGATGTAGCACCAAGTGAATAAGAAAGAAAGGGAAAATCACTGCACTAGTCTCCCTGACCATTTAAATGAAAAGTGGCCTCCACCGTGGCCTGTGAGAGTAGTTTAGTTTCGAAAATCAACACTTGGAGTCGGTGCCAGGGAAAAGAATAAATCGGTCCGTAGCGCATTTATTAATGAAGAATCTACGGCCTTGCCTCTCGTTTATAGTTATCCACAACATCATCCCACCTATCCTGGGCGTATACAGAGCGCTCTTTGTCGTCCCGGAAATTCCCAGATCAATCATCTTGCGGTTCTATGCGAGCGTCAAGCAGGGCAAGAAGGTGACGGAAATAGCACAGACTCACATTAACTACTGCAATGACCTTTTCGACCTTGTCTAGGGAGACAGAATATGCAACCTGCTCTTCTTCATAGCCATGTGTCGGAAGGCCTACACAGAGAGTGTGATCAATCTCGTCAAATTCCTCCCCACCATGGTATATAGAAACGCCGTGGATCCCGTTTTCATCTTTGATGAACACGATCCCACGTATCAATTCCTTAGTACCCGAGAATTTGAGTCGTCTCGTCTCTGGCTATTCAATCCGGTCACTCCACTCGCACTGTACCCTCTTGTCACTGCTGCAACTGACTGCAAGAGCAGCTCATTACCGAGATATAACCCAGCCATAAGATACTACTCGTACATACGACCATAGGGTGTGGAAAACAGGGCTTCCCGTCCGCTCAGCCGTACTTAAGCTAGTATTATCAACGCGGCCAGAAGTTATATGCGCCTTTAAAGGCCTGCTGCTTTACAGGTGAGAGATACTAAACCACAGGGTGAGTGTAGGTAAGTAAAGGTAAGCTGAGCAATGCTATCCAACAGCATGGGTGAGCATGGGTGATCAGTGGGTGACAAAGTGATGCTATAGTAACTAGACTCCCTATCACCAGTTATTAGTACCTCCATCGCCAGCTTAAATATGAGGGCCCCCTCTCTGCCTAACTATTATCTCCTTTTCTATCTACAAGTAGTTTTTTTGTGATTATTTTCTTTTAGTTTTTCCTCCTATCCTTCCACAGCATATCACGTGATATATTTTTTAAGTGATTTTAATCTAAGGAGAAAAGTGGAGGAGCTCTATAAATTTACTAACTTATAAGGATTTATAATAAGTACTAGGAAAAATAAAAAAGTAAACTAAATAAAAATGGCTATAAGAAAAGGGCTCTAGCTACCAATAACAGATATGGCTATTTAGTTAAGTTTTGGAAATTATATAAATAAATACTCATTTATTGCCTTAACTTTGTGCACAGTTGCTGACAGCATATAGATGGATGCTTTCTCAAAATGAACTCTCCGCCTACCTAATCTGGTTAGTATGTATCTAATTTTTCGATACCATACTAGCAGTCAATATATATTTCTAGTATTAATTGCTAAAGAATCTAGTATAAGGAAATTTCAATATAAGGAAGCAAAAGTGGCTGTCTCTAATAGATGCTTATATCAGTGGTTTACTGTAGGATGAGTTGTGGTGCTTGCCTCGCTCACCTGCTGCTTCGGTATGGAGTATTTCTATTGCACTAACTTGTGTAAAGACAAGCTTGAAATGAATGAGTAGATCCATGACTATTAAAAAATGACACATGTGGATACAGTGAGGCGTAAGTCCATTCACAGTGCAACAAGGCAATCGTTGAAGGGCAATTGCTCCATGGAAGGTCTATGTGTGGACCTCGAATTGACTGATGGAGCACTACTCGGGTTGCAGCAATAATAACAACAACACCTCTACCTAGTCAGAACTGCACACTCTCCTTCCCATGGCCTAAACATCAAGAGAACATATAGCGCGCTCAAGATGTCCGCTACTAAAAGGGTTGATGACGACCGAAATGTAGATTAAGCAGAACACACTGGTCTTGACCGATGTCAACCGGCTTTGCTCGTTAATACCGAGTCTTACCTCGGTACATTAGCAGAGCGCGAATTCAAATCCCTGCTACACTTGAAATTAGTTTTTCTCTAAGGTTACATCGCATGAGACCCTAGAAGTGGGACGCATAGCTGGACAGATTTGCCCATTTCACATTTGTATATTGCACATTTTTGTTCTTTTCTGGACGGTATACTTCTTAATGGGATCCTGAGGGAAAGTAGTTCATCTAGAAGGTTGTAAATAGTTGATACTTGAGAATACATATATTGTAATATTCATTCCTCTATCTCGCATTAAACATCTAAAGAGGTTTATGACTCCTATTATGATCTCGTGCCCTCAATGCATGCTTAATTGGCGCCATGGCCATCCATTGGTCGATACTAGGTTAGGTGTCATCAAACATCGTATGACTGTTGATATTCCCTGTCAAACAAGAGGCAGACTTCAGGTAGCAATCACTAAAGTGGAACAAGCGCCGCAATAGCGCCGGGGAAACCCCCTTTGACTGGAGACATCCTGGTGGGCGTCCAGTCGGATCTAAACCTGCTGAAATCTAGTCAATTCCCTTGCTTGATAGGAATTGGTAAACCGTTGACATAGTCGATGTAACATAAAAAGAGGTTCTTGAACCAACAATGAACTCTTTGTCTATAAAAGGAGAGTTCTCACATCCTCTCAACTCAAGGGACAACACCACAAATCTTCAAGCAATGCCAGACTGGTACGGTCGTTTACTTGAATTGACTCGTCTCTGTTGCTTATTTGGTCTTGTTTTTTTCAACGGATACAATTACTATGTTCTTCCTGCGGAGTACAGTGATCGGGACTCTGTGTTGCTTTGGAACTTCCGTGCTGGCCTCTTCCTGGCCTTCATCTATCCAGGGGCAACCGCTGCCAGACAAATGGTTTCAAATGAACCTCGATCAACTGGAGACCAACCTAAGCGAAACTGAGTTCAATTCCAGCCTACTTTGACTGCCACTCGCCGCATTGCTCCTCATTGCCCTTCTGAGTATTGGGAAGGATGGGACGGGGATTTCTATTGCCATATGTACTTTATCCGTGGTAGCATTCATCATCTGTTCTTTGATAGATCACCGCACCATGACCAAGACAAACAACAATGTACCCAGTTTCGCCTATCCTAAATTAGAAAGAAAAGCGTTCAAGACCACTCTTGTTCAGAGAAGCTCTTTATTCAGGACAGATTCCTATGCATAAGTACCCTGCTTATCTGCTTGCTTAGCGATGCTCGTCCAAGCATGGCGCACCATGGTTCTTAGACTTCCATGTATCCCTATACTCAGTCGACTTTGCGCCTCGGGATCTCTCGGCCATAATTGCAACTTTAGCTCCGACTGCTTCAAGTGTGGAGGTACCAATCATGATTAAGATGACCGAACCTTCGACAGGGATCAGGTTAAAATCCCCCAGCCATTGAGATAACTAGGCCTCGGATGGGAAGAAATAATATTTAGTGACGCACAGATTTCCAGTCTCCAGTCCATTGCTACTCGAGCTAGGCTGATACTGTATTTCTAAGGTATTTAAGATACCATGGTGCATATATAAGCACTAAATTTGGAGCCAAGGGGAAGCGGTGACTATTTAGCCAGGTTTTATAACCTATTATAGTTAGTGCTAATACTTACTTGGAATGTACTGTTTATGGTTAGATATTAAATATATGATGCTTTGTGGCTATCTATTATTATTATAGGCAGTGATTTGATGCAAACAGTCATAAGCTAGGAGGAGAACTTCATGCTTGCTATAACCCACAGCATCTGTCATCTATAATGTGAATAAGGGCCTGCTGCTTATTATGTCGTCAATAAGCTTGTAGTGCGATAGGTAAAGATGGCCCCTGCCCCTTTTAAGGGTCCATACTGGACTAAGGCACCTGAATCTTCCGAGCTGTGGCTTACAGCGATGGACGAGATTGGAATGCTTTCAGTGTGGAAGTGGGCTGTTTGCTCGGCATATTCCTTTATGGATTGGCTGGTAGATAAAATTTGAATATTTATTCTGCCGCAGACTGAGGGCATAATAGAGGGAGGTGTATAGCCTGAGGATACAGGGCATTGGGACAGTCACTGACGAGGTTCGTTGGCAGTAGTGCCCCGGGAAGTCCATGCCCAAGGCAGACTCTGCTGCACCTACCTGCTGAGGAGTTAGTAGCGCCGGAAGATTGATCTAACGAAGTGGTACAGTTTTCAGGATCTGTAATCGTGAGTATAGCTCTCCATGTGGAGTAATTCCCCGCCTCAAGTCAAGCAGCAGCGACTGCCCGAGAAATGACCGTCGCGAGAGTTATCCCATTGCCCCCACAAGCTGGTGGCCAAGTCTGATGAGCTGGTACTACTTCCTTGGGTTCGGTGAACAATTTCCAAGTCAAGAGCATGCGTTGGAGTTTGTTCATTTTCACTATTTCTGAGCCTTCCAGATATCTATTTCATTCTCAATGTGAAACAAACCCCGTGGACATAGAAGGGGTCATTCGCATGAGTGACTTAGCGTTATGTGAAACTTAAGTAAACATTTCACTGGCTCACTGATCTGCTCTGCTCTTCCCTCCTCTACTCCTTGGTGGCAGCCCAACGAATCCTGTTTTATGAGTAGGAGTCACCTCACCCTCATCACCATATACTGATATGGCGTCGCCATTTTGCCTTCTCCGGGATGAATAGGACTCTCCATGATGCTGGGGGCTGTCTTTTCCCTGGTCACGTCTGCCACAGGATGGATTAGGAAAATCAGGTGAACGTCGCCTGGCGCATGGGCGGGGACCAAGTTTTGGTGGCCCAAAAGGTGGCATTTGCATGTATGCACCTTCCCTTTCTCGGTTGTCATCTTGCTCATGCATTCTTTCCTCAAAGCTTTCTTTATCTTGGTTTTCAAGTTCCGCTACATTTGAAAGGAACGAATGGGACGGTGACAGGGGTGAAACATGTTGCTGAGAATAACTATTAGTATCGCGGGGATGGTCATGACTGTTATACTATACTCACAGGAGGTTCTGACCTAGTCCTTCTTCGCCGAACTTTCCGTCTTGGCGATGATCTCACCTCAGCTTGTGGCTCTACGACGGATGCCTGATCTCTACCACTGTGATGAGGAGGCGTTGAGGGTGGCGTTGTCAGCGAAGACTGGACTGACACTGGCGAGGTTGATGGTGACCCAGAATTAAGAGTGGATGTGCTATCAGGGGGCTTGTTCCGATCTAGACGAGGGATCTCTTCTTTCAAAATCTGTAATACTTCCTGGGCAAAAGAAGTCGGCATGAAGCCGTGGTTTGGTGAGATACTGTGCTGCATAAGGAGCTCCTCCTGTACATGTTGAGCGTGCGCGAGCTTGTTGAATTCGATACCCAGCATCTTTTGGGAAGACTTTCTGGCAAAATGCATGATTAGAAGAGGACTCGATGTCAGCTGTTAGTCTGAACAATGAGGGGATCTCACAGTTGCGCCAGGATTGGATTAGATCTGTCTTTTTGGTAGGCCTGGTAGAGCATCTGAGTATTCACCAGGATTCCGATTGTTCTCATTGATTTTTCCAAAACCTTCATATCCTGGAAGAGAGGGGGTACAACCTTCGTACTCTTCCTAAACCATTCATACTGTGCGATCCACTTATCAGTCACATTGACAGGATCATTATTTATCAGAAACCAGAAGATTTTTGTGATGTCCTCAAGCTTTGTGATTATTTGTTTTGATTCCATTTCAACTCCTCTTATGAGCTTTCGATGTCGTTTAAACATTGGGGCTAGCTCTTCAATTCCCTCTGCCTCTTTCATTGTATCGCGGAAAAATTCATAGGTTCTGGCCACTGTTTTCGTTCTTCTGATCACTTTGTCGAGATCATGCTTTGCATGACGAATTCCCTTGTATATTCTTCTCATGTGTCTAGCAACTTTGAGGAGGTCACTTGCGATTGTATAGGTAACCCCCGCTATTGCAAGAGCATCTGCCATTATTTCCAAACAGTACTCGCGTGGAGCTGCGCAAAGACAAGGAAGGTGTAGAGATCACTGGGAAATGTTTAGAAAATAAGTTGGACCACGGAAACAACTGAGTTAAGAGGCGGGGATTGTGGGGATTTATCTTCACGCCCATATATCAACCAGGCTGTGCCAACAAATAGTGGAAGGCCATCATAGAATAAGAAAGAAAGAGGAAGAGACTTTAAACAAATTCAGCCTCATTTTTGAACTAACTATGGAATGAAATGCAGTTGCTCAGCCCATACACTTTGCAGGCATCGCCTCGTCGCACATATCCTGCCCATCAGAAAACGCCTAAATATCCAGGTTGAGACGCACAGACGAAGAGACTACAGATGCATAGGTATGCCTACATATTTTCTCCACCTATATCGAGAAATGGTGGCCACTGACTGCATATAGAGGCTGAAAGAAAAGCATACCCCGCTTCGCCTCATTTCACACACCTAAGAAACAAGGCTGGCTACTCAGTAGACCAGATTTTACGTGCCATGATGGACAAATTAATATAAACTACCAAGGATACGCCGCCGCGTCTCCTAAAAGCATGGAAGGGTTGTTCTTATCAAGCATTCATTGGTCAGCCTCATGCAGCTTAGTGCAGGTTGCTTAACTAACACCACATAGAGATCATGAGAACGCATTGTCTCCAAGGCGCTTAAATAGAGTGATGCAAGCTTTAAGTAGCTTTTAGGCCTCCGTGTACTTGCTTAGACTCCATAACTAAAGCCAATTAATTACCTATATAATAGAAACCCCGGTAAAGCACACCCTATGATCCATCTCTGCTATTCTTTAGTCTTTATCAGTCACTCCAGTGGGAGATAGGGCACTATAGCAGCTACCCTCTGAGCATCAGCAAGGTTGCAAGTAAGGAGCTAGAGTTGATGGCCATTATTAACTGCACTGTGGCTGGATGAATTGCCGCTATAGCAGAATGGCTATTTCAGACTGACTGTTAGTCTGTTACCATCAGCATCTTATCTCACAGGGTATCTTACTATATGCCACTCCAAGGGACACTGATATTTATAGCTATAAATTCTTTTTAATCCTGATACTGATTTCATGAAGGGCTCTGGATTAATAGTAAGACATACTATATAAAGAGATTATTAACTTTACTCTATATATAAGTAATTAAGTTATTATTAACAGTCCTCGGCAGCTGGCTTCCATAGGACTCTTCCTAGGCTAGTCTATTTACTACTAAGTTTTAGCCTTCTTAATAAACACTCTAATAAATATTAGACTTACCCTATGCTGTGTAGCTAGAATCCTCAGAGCCATTATCCTTGCGTAGCCTAAGATTAAGTGGAAGTTACTAGAGACTGCTACTCATATTTTAACTCATAGATATTAATAATAATTCATGAATAGTCTTATTTATTATCCGAGCTGAAAACTACTTAGAAATATATGGATGAGAATGTGAGGTTGACCTTACTAGATGTAAAGTTATAGTATGAACAGAAAAATAGTAATTCAAAGTATGTGCCGCTGTGATATCTGCAGTTATTAGGGTGACCTGGATGAAGAGCGCTATTACAGGGTAATTATGCTCTAGACAATCTAGTAACTGTATCAGGCGCAGAGAACATGGTTGCCATACTAATTTGGGTGACCAGAGGGCCTCTTATATATAGAATCTAGATCCACTCTAGACTCCATATCCTATCTTACATCTATATCTACTCTATCTAGAGTCTATGGATTATCCTTCTTGTTCTTCTTCTTCTTATTATTATTATACATGAGTTCCTGGACGAAGCGAAAATCGTCACGGCCTTGGAGGCAAAGAGCTCAAGATAAAATGTCTCATCCAGCAAATGGATCCGGACTCCTCCAAGCTATGCATAGTAAGAAAAGAAGGACCCCGAACAAACAAATTGTGGAAGGCGCAATGGAAGCATGGTGTGATGAAACGGAGGCCACATGGGTGAGGAAAGTGGTCATCTCACCTGGGTTATTCACTGACTTCTCAGCGTTTCTTGAACCTAAAGTTCTCTTCATCTAACCCAAGTAGCATTTTGTGGGAATGCGTCGAGAAATCTCATTTCTAAATGCCCCGGCAAAAGCCCTCTATGACCACGTATGATCATCTCGTCTTGGTCACCGTTTTTGCATTCATTCCCATCTTTAATCGTCGGCTATCCGGTCAGTCTCATCGTCGTTACAACATGCAGGGTGCAGGGCCATCATGATGAGATTGGAGATTTGGTGACCTCATCAACCCAGGCACCATACCGGTTATGTTTGACCGAGAATCCCCAGGCGAATAAGCTATCATACCCCCAAAAACCCCTGTGATGTAGCTCTCTATACAAGGGTAGATTAATAAACAAATTTTGAGGCATTTCCATGTAAAGCAAGGACAATGCCTTGACCATGTTTCTGTGGCACCGGGAAAAGAAAATTTGTCAAATTAGGGCTCTGACTTGTCAGAATCCTTTTCCTGCAACCTGAGATCAGCTTCCCTAAACTGTCTGCAGGGCTCCGTGTGCTCTCTCGCTTTAGTGGGTGGTCACATGATCAATACGAAATGAATAAACTTAATTGACCCTTTCACCTAGGGCGTGACTGTGTAACAAGGTGGTGGAATGGTTGGTTAGAACCGCATATTGGCTCTCCATCTCGTATTTGTCCTCAGCACACATAAAAGCAAAAATTTTCCACATAAACGGACACTTCTCTGGCATATGGTGCAATTCAAAACACCAAATGGCTCACCTCTCTAATCTACCCACGGAAGTCCTGTATCTGATGCTGGCACAATGTGACTCTACCACACTTCATTCCCTCTCGCTTGTGTCCAGACCCTTCCACCATCTGTCCAATCGATTCCTCTACTCCAACATCGACTGGATATATCACCACGACGAACGACAACCGCGATACCCACCTCTTACTCTCCTCCTGCGCACCCTCCTAGCGCATCCAGAGCTGGCTMTACTCATCAAGCGAGTCCATCTAGACAACCACGACTTGGCGGACATGGAAGATCACTTGGAAGACATGGTACCGGGATCGTTAGACCTCCAAACCATCGATGCAGCAATGGATTTGATAAACAAAATGGGGTTCCCGCAGAAAGATCGGTGGTATACGGCGCTGAGCGAAGGGAGTGTTGACGCCGTGATAGCCTTGATCCTTTCCCAGCTTGAGAATTTGGAGACGTTGAAATTGGCACTGTGTCTGGTGGATGATTCCTTGTTCGTGGGAATGGTATTGAAGCATTTGATTATGGTACGTGGGGGAGGAAGTTTCAGCAGTTTGAGATGCGTAAAATTTGGCGACAACGTTAATGGCTACGATATTCTGGATATTCAGGCGAATATTGACCAGATTCTCCCATGCTTCTTCCTTCCGTCCTTGGAGGAACTGATAGTGACTATCCATGAGCCCGACCTCAGCTCATGGCGCAAGCTCAAAGAAGAGCTGCACCAGAAGCAGCAGTCTCAGTCACTCACAACGCTCCGCCTCTACCGGTGCGACATCGACCCGAAGCATGTGGAGAAACTGGTGATGTTAGCACCAAGACTCAAAGTACTACACTGTGGTTTCCTCCGTCACATCTCGGCATCTGAATACTCAGAAGAGACTGATTTCGCCCATCTCTGTTCCGCTCTACTACCCGCCGTAGATACCCTTGAGGAACTAACTATTGACATGCGATGGACTGAAAAAAACTGCGATGTCTTCTCGATGCCGCTCAGTTCAGCAGGGAGAGTTCCCATGGGCTCGCTGCAGCAGTTTCACGTCCTCAAGCGCCTGGACATACCGACTGAATTACTGCTGGGTAATCTTAATCGCTCGGGGCATTCGCACAAACGACTATCTGACCTCCTGCCCCCGAGTCTTCAATCTCTATGCTTGGTAGACAACACAGTGACTTGGGAATCGATTTCTGACCGGCATAGCCCAAACTCAACCAAAAATTCTATGCAAGCGAGCATCGATGCACTCGCTGAATATCTAAGAGATCGTGCACAGCACGCGCCCTTTCTGCGGGACGTCGTCCTTAACTATGAAGGCAGGCCGTGGGAAGGGCACAGCCTGCTCGATCCAACGTATATCGGCAATATTGCGCGTCCAACACAACCGCAGCTGCTGCGCAGAATTGCGGAGGCAAGTGGTGTTGCCATGTGTGTATTTTACACGAAACGGATCAAACCGGGGGTTTCGACGCGGGCGTCAATTATCGTGTATGATCCTGAGAACCCGGATGCAGAGCCTATTGAGTGTGGGCCGTCGTCTGTGCTCTAGGCATTATTCTGTATTAGGCGGGTCATGCCTCTGTGACTGCTTATATTGACGAACCTGAGGAATGTGAGAAAAGGGGGAGACTAAAGCTTTGTATCCAGTTGTCCTTCTCTTCTTATAATAACAGACGCGCATCATCTGGAGCAGTCCCTCCCCCCACTTGGTGCAGTCAGGATGAGCTACCGGAGGCTTCCCTCGCGCTGCGCGCCTCACTCCATTTGATTCGCATTCATCAGTTTTGTGGGGAACCTGCGTACTCTCCGCATGGTGTTGGGTCGGGGCACCGTGCCTGCTTGTGTCCATATCTATCTCGGACAGTTCCAGCACCGGATCGGCCTCTCCCGGCGGTAGGAGACCTCACAGAACACTGCTTCCCCGCGGATCTGTATGATCCTCTGGTTTAATAAGGGCTGAGCATCCTGCTCTCCAGATAGGTATACAGCCATCAACTGTAAGCTTTCGTGCCGCTCAGCCAGCGGACCATTTTGGGCATCCGCGCTTCATTTCCATCAGAGACGTGTCGACAAAGTCGCCCTGTCAAGAGTCGTCGTTCAAAGACCGCTTTTCCGGGAAACACTGCTCCACTGAACCAGGGCTGTTGGCAGTACATTCTCCCACGCTTTGCTTTCTCGCAGTGTTTTAACATTCTCTTCGCTATGCTGAAGATTTTACTGGCGCCCTTAAGCAGGGGCTTTACTTCAACCTTGGCGCTTTCAATAGTCAGATATGACTTCTCGGACCCGCGTGGAGCCTTTCAAATTTCCGTCGTTTCCAATGATGCTCTACGCCCTTCAGCCACAATCGCTGGCCCAATTAGCACTACTAGCTCTTGTGCTATGATACACCAAAGATGTGGATGTAACAGTGCCCTGCTCCTACCTGTGCATGGATCCATGCTGGGCTGGTGCTTGGATTTGTCATGGCTGCGCGGAGAGACTGGAGCCCTTCAGGATTTTCCGCACGAACATTTGCAAGCGAAGCCTTGGTCAGAAGCGACGCAACAGTTTGTTTCACTTCAGCCAACTCTCAATGCACATCAGCCAAAGCCCCTCACAGTCCCCTTTCTAATCTCGCAATATCTTCGTGTTGCTCATTTTCTCACGCACAGCTCATTGCAGAGCTCAGTGGTTTGCGCATGCAACCTCATAGCTTCCACATGTTTAGGCTTAATGTCTGGCTGGAGATTCTTTATTGAAATTCTCACTCTTTATGAGTGGGTCCAAAATCATCTGCAATGCCCTGCAATCAATATTCTCCTGAGAAGGTGACCATCTCCGGGGTGTGTCAGATCTCTAGTAAAAGGGGTAACTGTGAGTGATTTGGCTGTTAATAAGTATGTGGCCTGTTCCCTCCAGATATTTGATAATTGCCTTGTCGGCCTCCTTCATATGCTGCCCTGCAAAATCCTGGACTTCCTTGGTGAAGCAACCATGGGGGTTAACTGGGTTTAGGGGTTGATGGGTCTTGTTGATAACACTATGGTTGATGGCGACCTGGTAATCATCCTCACTGAAAGCAGGGGCTTGGTGAATAACACCTACTCTGCCCTTAGCTGTGATATAGGTATTATTTAGTATATAGAATCTATAGTCCTTGAATTTATTATAGTAATAGTTAAAGAGAGGTTTATACTTCCAGCCAAGCATAGCAGAACCCTTGATATAATTAATAATCTTAAACTTAGCTTTCTTTAGGTCCTTATAGATTATGTGAAGCAAAGATTCTAGAAGGATATAGTTCCTTTTAGTGGCCTTATTATAGATCTTTATGTACTCAAAGTCTAGGTGGGCGTAGAGACTGATGTGGGAGGGAAGGGTCCAGGGGATGGTAGTCTAAGTAAGTAAGTAGGTTCCAGGGTTGTCTAAAAGGGGGAAAGTAATAATGATAGTGGGATCTTATACATCCTTGTAGTTTTGTTGAGCCTTAAAGTTACTGAGGGGGTATTTAAAGCTGTTGAATATGGCATCATATGGTAGCCCTGGTAGACCAGGCCCTTGTTGAACAGCTGCTTGAAGACCCACCTTTTACAGAAGGCGTCAGCAACTTTGTTATGCAATATAAGTGATCAATAAATAGGCAATCATACCAGATAGACTCTATGAAGCTTGTGTGCATTGTCTATATGCTAATTGAGAAAGTGTTTGTTAGTGATATGACTAGCTAGGATCATGCGACACCATTCAGACCCAAAGCATACCTTGTAGTTGTTGTCAAAATCAATCCAGCAACCTAAGTGCTCAATTATCTGACGCCATTCAGCAGTAAATTGTATAATAATAGCCTAGCACTCCTCATTGTACTTTGTAATTCTGAGCTTCTTAACAGCCTCCAGGCTGGACATGCTAAGCTTCTTGTTGATCTTATATTTGATGGGGACACCATGCATATCCTAGCTAAATTAGTGCTCAACATAATAACCCTTTATTACCCAATATCTAGGAATGATATCCTTGATTATAGAAGCCAGCAGGTGGCCATAGTAAGGAAGACTAGTAGGGGAAGGCGGGCTGTTATAGAAAGTGTATGGCTTCTTACCTTAAGAGAGCTTGACTTAGCATTGGAAGGCATTAATCTCCCTCTACTGCTTGAGGATGAGCTCCTCCTCAGCAGGAAAATCAATAGACATGGCGCTTGAAGCTGGTTGGCAACATTGGCTTTCCAACGGGGACGAGAAGCAGATAAATAGAGAAGTGACTCACTCCCACCACCACATTTTTGCCTGTGCTCTCGGCGTCTTGCAGGCCGGCTTACCCCTTGGGTCAAAGTTGGCTCCCAAAGGGGGCTAGTCGCGCCCTTTGCGTTGGGTGGATATGTTATTTTAAACAGTGACTCATTTATAGATTAGGTTCTAGCCACCACGTTTTCGCCGCGCTGATCTGGCACCCCGCCCTCACCTCAACCAAAAACTTTCTGGGCACACTGACCTGAAATGACAGGGTTTAGGCCTTATTGCCTTGATGTCACTTGAAAAAGCAGGCAATCCATCACCGTGAATTATTGAAGTCCCATCATTTCGTGTGCCTATAATGTTCAAGTCGGCTCAGCTTGCAATGCATGTATGATGGTGGCTGTTACTCACTTCAACCGTCATTTGAGAAAAAGATGCAGGGTCTAGTGCTTGTGGATTTTCTGCTCCCCAGCTCCGAAGGCGTAATACTCACTCTGGGCCTGCATCTAGGGAGGGAACTATAGAGGCTGTAACCTTCCTGTTAAAAGCATGTGCGTCCCTGCGAAATGTAATTTGAGTGGAAAACCTTGTGCATAAGCTAATATCGCGAGGGAATGCTATTTTGGTCAGACCTTTAAGGACTAAGTGTTTTCCACTTGACTGTTTGCTAATGACCACTCGCTGAGGCAGACTAATATATTCGCTAATGTTGCAAGCAAAAGTTTATTAATTTTCTCCAATAATGCTGGGTCTGTAAGCAAAGGGCTCTTTGCCCACTTTTTTGGGATCTTTATGTCTTCTTCAGCTGAAAAGGAAGGACCGGCGGTTGGGTTAGTTAACTAAGTATATCTGCAGATAAGATAACTCCTGTTTGTGGTGGGGTCTGGACTAAAATAGTGAAATAGTAGACAGCTGCTTCTTATAACTTGGTTGAAAATCTGAACATTTATAAATTGGTAAAAGAGATCCACATTCACTAGAAGGAACATTTTCATGGTTATATCTTGAAGTTACACCAAGAATGTGAACACTCTCATTGAAGATGCCTTGAAAGCAAGGATGTAATATACTTGAGACTCCTTTGTGCGAATATAAGGGGTAACTCTCTAACTATCCTTCGGTGGATATAATAGGTAAATCCCTCCATACCAGGAACACTCCTAAGAGGAAAGCTGTAGGTACCCCTTAAATAATACTGGTAGCTGTAAATGAATTACAAGGCGCACCATTGTTCAGTACAGCACTAGAATCTGATGAGGGATTGCACTAGGAAAATAGAGCATCAGAAAGCTAGTTAGGAAAGGCAAATGTTATAATTGAAGAAGAGAGGATTTAGGTTCCTGAAAAGCAGGGGAGGAAGGACTATCTTTTACATCAAAATGTAATAGCTTTAAGTGGATTCTAAAATGCAAGAATACTCCCAGAAGGTGCAAGCCGGCATGCTCAGATAGGCTGGAGAAAGGTATTAGGCCAAAAGCAATTATCCAGCTCACATGATTTGAAGAGCTCCAAAGATAAGCTTAAACATTTTCTGTGTTGACTGCCAGCATCACGATCTCGAATGGGGGAGGCGTACGACAACATGTGTGCATCGTACACGATCGTGGGCTTGGGGAACAAAATGGGGCGTGGAGATGCCCGTGGGTATGGAGATTAACCACCTGGCTGCTCTGCCTACGATGCGGCCAAGAAGCTGAAGAGCTACAAGGACATTTATGAGTCCAAGACCATGCGCCTGAGACCTGGCTAAGTACGTGGTGACATCCGCGCATGCTTTGAGAGAAGTGGCACTTTGTCTGTGATGGCGATGCCCTTTGGACCGCAGAGCAGTACATGATACACAGGTAGACCATGATCTTCGGTGACAAGAGAGTGTGGTGGTGATTACTAATAACTAGGAGCAGGCCATGGTAGAGTACTATAACACGCTATGGCCTGAACACCATGGTGTACACTGATGGATGCACTGTTGATATGGGAGTCTGTGTCCCCCTTAGGTGCCTGGCCCGCCTGCTTGCAGAGAAAAGAAGCTTATTAAAGACATAGTACACCGTGGCATGTATCATGTCTATTAGGCCATAGAAACAGTGATCTTCATGGTGGGATCAGTGCCATTACTACTAAAATTTGCAAGTGTTCTATAGCTAACCTTTCCTTGAATAAGGACCCAAAGGGTCATTGATTTACTAAGCATTATTACCAAGATCTTTACCCTAAGCCGCACTTCTGATGGCTCTACTTAAGTCCCAGTCCTATTCTTATTGATTAGGAATTATTTCTAAAGGGTTTTTCTGTGTCTGCTAGGCGAAAAACTGAATGGGAATAGGTATGCTTTCATTGTGTGAGATGTGTGTTTTAACCCCTTGTTCAGCATTGCTACTCTTCCTCTTTTCTAAGCATTCCTGTATTACTTCGCTTCAGAACAGATAACTCCCGACTCATGGGAAGCAGGGCGGAGGTGCAACGGCGGTCTGCAGTTTATCTCAGTCACTGTAGGGTTAACTATGCGATGCAAGTGATCTCTTATGAGATGGGCCATAATTAACTAACGTAATCCCCAACCGAGCCGCCCACCCTACCGAGCCGCCCATTTCTATATACCATATAAAATGGCACTTTTCAAGGCTTTGATATCTCCACAAGGCCCATATATGCTATAATGTAAGTAGTATATTTGGATTATATATGGCTTAGAGTATTCAAATACTCTTTTAAAAGGCCCTAAAATACTATCTCTCTCTCTTAATGTTTAAGATCTTAATATTACCAAAAATACAAATGTAATTTATGTTACCTGTGTATATACATATACTAGGGAGGCTGAAGCTTATAAGTATAACTCTGTATGGCTATATTACACCTTATACCTAAACTTAGACCCTATAGATGCTTGGTTGTTGAGATATCAAAGCCTTGAAGAGTGCCATTTTATATGGGAAACAGAGGTGGGCGGCTCGGTTGGGAATTACGTTATCAGACCCTTCTGATTCATAGAGTAATTGCTGGTTTTGAATTGAGTCTGGAGGTAAACATCGGGCCAGACTTATTGAGTGTTTTCTAAGAGAAGAAAATACTGTGGCTATATGTGGATGGTGGGACACTCAGTGTTTTGTCCTCCACGCATTCATCCCATCAAGGCACCTGGCTTAGTGCCTGGTGGGCCATTGCCCTTCTCAGATGAGTACCTCACGGCACAAGTTCCACTTGGGTGATGTATACTCTAGGTTGGTGATGTATTCTCTAGTCATCAGCACCTCTCTAAATTGCACCCAGGCTAATCACCACCTCTTTCAAGCGGCATCACCCCCCCCGGTCACCCATGAGGGCACCCACCCAGGTATTGACCGCGTTCAAGCCACACGCCGGCCGGTTAGTAGTTGGGTGGGTGACCACCAGCGAATCCCGGCTGTTGTATGTTTTTATTTATTTAATAAATAAATACCCTGTTAGGTTTACTGCAACAGTGCTCTGCCTGAATCCGACCTGAACGCTGTCTAAATTTTACCTACTTCCCCACCCTACGTCAGTTCCGTCGTATCATACCAGTACGTCCAGCGTCATCTAATTTATATCGAGGGTGCGACTCATATTCTATTAGATTCCATTTTATCCTGTCCTTCAGCCTCAAGCTATTTGAAACAGACCTTTTTAATTCTAAACAAAGCAACACTACTATACCCCGGTTCTTGTCGAGAAAAGATATTGACAGCCACAGTCTCCGTACGCCGCTCAGTTTCTATAAGTGCAGAAAACATCCATATTCTCCGAGCATCAAGGTCATCCCGATATTAATGGAAATATAGGTGTATTATAGATCATTCTTCTCATATCTATACTAGTCGCAATCTTTTCCAACATATAACAGAGATTCAAGTTTAATGCTTGGGCCCGCGACCCCATCGTCCATGTGCCCTGATCAAGAACGGAAATAACAGATCCCACAACAATGGCATTTTAATCGATTATCCGAAAACCGTCAGCTTCAAGAGGAAAGCTCTAATCCATAAATAGTAGATGCAGTGACGTCCCCGCAAGATTATTTTCGCCTGCACAATGTATTCCGAAGTTGATTGATTCACTTAACCGGCGGGTCTCGCGAATTGTCCACACGCCTGGAATTAACTACAAGGGTAGCTCAACTTATGGTCCCTTCAAAAAGGTTTGTCGGGGTAGATAGGACCACCCTCAAGTCTGCTGCCATGTCTGGGGCCTTTGCTCTCAGTGTCTATTTGTTATCATGTATTCTGGCTCAAGCTTGGGATGCAGAGCAATCGGCAGCACTGTGGGTGGAACTAGTCAAACAGCAACAAATGGAAATCGAGTTAGCTACAAAGAAAATTTCACAAAGTCTTTGTGTCTACCCTATTCAGCGCGCGTCAAGTTATTTAAAGGGAGAATTTGGCGCGATGCGACAATAGCGCGCGGCCCTAGCTCCGTATGGAGACCATAGTTGCTAGAGCACGGGGTCTGATATTTTATAGAGTAACGATGACTTGGCTCAAGGTGTTCACAGCCAAGCAATTCTTTCAAGTGTCTATAGAGAGTAATGTTCTGATAGATTGCAATATTATTATGGGCTAGAAAGCATTTATGGATTAGGGTCCGGAATTCTATAAAGCCATCTGCATGCCATTTATAATACTGATTGTGTTAGTTCCGAAGACTCCAAAGTGTTGAGCCTACTATACCTATCCTTTTCTTCCAAATTCTTTCTACGAAAGTTACTAATTATAGAGAACCATAATTAGAAGGACTGTTGCAATCTATATACAAAGAAAGTAACATGTTGATTTCTATTCCTCCAAATCTACCTATTGACGTTGATGACTTTCCCTGCTCGGAAGATCATTACATGTTATGCTACAATAATAGCCACACATTATGTTATAATAGAAAGAATTGAACAAACAACATTCTTGTGGCCCACTTACTCGATTGTGATTTGGCATGGGGGTGAATGGCATTGTGTCTCCAGAATCGAAAGGTTTACGCTATTTACCATCTTAGTCAATCTGTCGTCAAATTGATCAATTAACATTCACTCCGGAGTCTTCAGAACTAACATAATAAGGATTGTGAATGACATGTCAATGGCTACTGATGTGAAGCAGGCGCTCAGCCACGCGAGTATATATCTTCTTCTTCTGCTCCGTTTCCGTCTTCTCGAGCTTTCACCGTCTAACTGTGGCATTCGAGCTTGAAAATTCAGTACAGACGCTGGTCCTTCTATTTTGAAAACATCAGACTTGAAATCAATATGCGCAGCCGCTGGCAGGCTCCTGGACGCTTCCTATTATTGCGTCTTACCTCTCTGAGATAAACTCTGTTAATAAGCCTTATCAGGAACGGATCGATCAATTGTGGTTGAATATCCTCACCCACTACTTCCCGCTGCGCGATGGTTTTGGTACCGAGAGGGAAGCGCATGTTGAACCCGGAAGGATGTTTGCAGTCAACGTTGCTGTCACCAACATACGCCAGAACTATATGCACAAAGTGATCATGGTCGAGGCTAAGGCATTCCCGCGTGACGCGGACAATGGCTGGTTCAACAGGTCCATTCGTTTTTGTGTCTCTTTTCTGTTCTTTTCTCTAATAACGTCATTTCATCCTTGCACTGTGTTGTGAGTATCGATATGCATCTTAGAACATGTGTATCTTACTGACGGATTAAGAAGAAAGCAGCAACAGCAACAGCAACAGCAACAGCAACAGCAACAGCAACAGCAACAACACCAGCAGCACCAGCACCAGCACCAGCAATGGCGCGTATCATACAGGTAATTCCATGTTCTGTTGACTATGTAAATTTGAAGTTGAATCTGACGGATGTATTAGCAGCAAGTGATAGTCAATAACGGGGGTTGCTTCCGAATGGAAGCCCCCAAAGCCGATGAACGCCCCCGTGCCCTTCGTCAGAAGGAAAAAAAGAAAACCCGAAAGATGGATTCATCCATCAAAATTTTGGTAAGACTTTCATTGCCACTACGTACATATAGTAGTGAGCCGAGGCTGATATATGATATTATCATAGTAGCGGCCCGAAGTCGATCGACTCGAGAAGGCCGCCGCTGCCGAAGAAGCGGAAGTCGCGCGCAAGCGCACCAAGGCCAAGGAGCTCCTGAAGGCCATCAAAGAGAAGGAGGAGGAGAAGGACAAGGAGGGCAAGACTGGTGCCTTGGTTTTCAGATCCAAGGAAAACGAGATGGATATGGAATAGAGCGAATCGAATTAACAGATGGGATAGGGCGTAGTGGATATTCAAATCCCTGGATTCTTTTTGTTTCGGTTACACTCATCTCTGTAGGACTCATTTGTGTACTCTGCACTCTTTACTAGAAATCACCGAAGTATCTCCGGCGAGTCTCTTCCATTGCTAGCTCCCTCGGCATCGGGACCAGAAATTTATCGATCTCATCGCGCCAGAAATAGTTCTGCGGGTTTACGTAAAAAGCAGTAGTGTATTCCCAATATGATGGGTACCATCCGGCTGTCTCCCAGTCGATAATACCGACAATCTTATCACCACAAGCCAGAATATTCAAGCTGCTAAGATCACCGTGCGTAAACTTCAGCGGCCAGCTATTCCGATGCTGGATGATGAGTTCTTGTATGTCCCTGTCAAGATTTGGATCCATGGATATGCCTTGACGTAAATGGTTATGAAAGTCTTGAATATTGCTAAACGGTCCAAATCGCAGTGAGGGTCCAGGTAACCGACAGTCGTATAGAGGTCCGCCATCGATATTTGCAATGCCACACCCCTCAGGAGGGACAAGTCCCCTCATCTCTTGGATGAACTGCCTTAGTTGTGATAAAAGCATTGCTTTCGATTCCTCACTTCGATTCACCCACCCAACTCCAATCATCTCGCCATGAATCCTTTCCATGAGAGTATGGGTCCAACCGCGATGTTCGAAGGCGCAAAAGATCTTAGGCACAGGAATGGAAGTATGCCTGGAACTGTAGCGCATCGTCGAAGCTTCAGAGAGCTGGACAAGTGCGCCATACTTGTTGCGAGAGAGGAAAAGTACGCTTCCTTTACGCGGCCGTACGCGTTTCAGGAGTTTGATGGCCGCTAAGACAAGAAATCGATGCAGAAGAGTGTCGTTAACCGAAGGTGAATGAGTGCTGGACGAGGGACAATGAATTTTAGAGTTCAGACTGTTTGGCATTTTGATTTATGAGTATGTACCTTTCCAAAAGATTCTAGGAGCATTCCATAATAAACTCTTATGGTTGCTGTACAAGAGCTGTGCCAAGGCATGATGAAGCACAGCCTGAAGGGGGGAAATGCATGTGGTCACATGATCACAGTGGGACACGAGCAACACACGGCAACCACCGTAATTCATCCCAGTTGCAAGTTCCTTGTGCACTTCATCGAGTGGACGAGTCGCTCTCCGTCGCTTGGAAATGGGCTGTATGCTGCTGGGCTACCCGCTCGAGTGTGTGCCGGGGCTGTCCGAGGGATCTCCGCTTCGATGGCGGAGTTGTCGGATTCGGGAAGGTTGAAGGAGATGTTCCTGGTGCTTCTGTGCCCGAAGATGTTCATGATTGGCGAGCAGAACCTTGGCTTGTCGTATCTTGAGCAGTTGAAGGAGGAGGGGGTCGAGTTGGCGGTGAGATTACGTTCAGTGGGCATTTTTCTATGTATTCGAATCCTCCGGAGATGTAGTGGCGGATTGCCGCGTTTCTGGGGGAGAGCCCATAGGTTACGGTCTGTGATAGAGAGATAGATGGTTAATTAATACTTAGCTCTTAGCCTGAATCTGATTTCGTGTGACTGTAGGCTAACTATATTCAAGAGGGTCGTCATTACTCAGTGAAGCCAGGGCAGCGTGTGGGCGAGTAAAACCACAAAGCTTAACAGAATGGCACATCTGAATTTCTGGCTGTACCTAGATCGAGAGGTGATGGGAAAACAATCAAACCCCACAGGGTAAGTAGAGACTGTTTGCTAATTTACTAAGTGCTGGTGATCTATTCCTAGATAGTTTGTTATTGCAGGAGCAAGCACATGGTTAAACCACTCATGGTACTAAAGATAGGCAATGTCAAAAAGAGTGAAAGAGAAAAAGGAAAAAAGGCAAAAGGAAAGAAGAACAGCAGAAATCGGAGGGGAAGGATGGTGTTGTTTTATTGTTTTTGCCCTGTCTTATGCATGAGGCTAACTAGTCAGCCAATTTATGTTTCTAGCGACCCCAGGGTACGTAAGTAATGTGAAGACCCAGCCACAGACGTACTTTTTCTAGGAGATTCTGAAACGAAGAGGAGATAACCTTGCAAAAATGGCGGTAAACTTACCAAACTGTCGGAAAACTATTCCACGTCATGCAGTAGATAGCTTCCCTAACTCGAGAGGAAAGTGACAGGTCCAGAAAGTAGAAAGGCGCTAGAAGGACTAGAAGAACGCGAGAACATGTAAAACATACACTAGTCTAACTGGGGCTGGTAGTCTGTTTATGGCTGGCAAGAAACCAGTCTTTTGCCTGGTGGCTCTGGCGATCAGTTGTTGTTCATCCAAAGCCCAAGACTCAAGCTACTTTATCTACATAAATTATTTAAACAGCTCATTCAACTCTCCTCAGTACTCAGCGTTTATTATTTCCCTCCAGACCATCAATTCTACTTGTACCTTGAATGGACTATAGTCCTTGTTTCCGTTCTCAAGTCTCAACTGCCAGGATGTCCAGCCCTGTACCAATATTCAAAAGAAACTCCCCAGATGATGCATATTCTTTCAACGTTAACACTCTTTCAAGCTCTTCCAGTCAGAGTGACAACTTTAGTCTCCATTACCCTGTTCAGGGGGAATCCCTGGCCTTTACAACCGATTGGATAGCTACTACATATTCGCCACAAGACGTTCCTCTTAATACAGCTTCGCAATTTGATTGGCATTTCCCATTGTCTGCAATGTCTCAACCAGCTTATGGGCCAGCTGTCCTTCCTGTCAATCCAGGGCCCGAATCAGCACAACTACAGGACAATCAACCTTTCGTGGAGAGGAGCCAATCGCAAGGCTATATCATTGAGCACAGCATGCAGGGAGCCGCAATTCCACCATTCATGAATCAAACCCATCCTCTCCAGTCCGTGCGTCGGGGCGAAGTCAGCCAAACTACGGTTAACCGGTAGGTTCGCCCAGCTGTGGAAAATACTGCCGCTAATTTGATCTCTCTCATAGGTCCACAGTTCGAAACGCTAATCTTGTGTGCAAGTGGGAGGGATGTACCTACAAAAAGCCATTCAATAGGAAGGCAGACCTCTCTCGTCATGTCGAGTCGATGCATATTGCTCCCCGTTCTTACTGCTGTCTAGTTGAGGGATGCTCTAGACTTTTCAGCAGGAGGGACCGACGCGATGCGCATATGATGCAACGCCATTTTGTTTCAGAATCAGAAAGGCAGCCGGAGGTGCAGGAACCAGCATGAGCAGTGCTATCAGCTCTTCCTTTGCAAGCATTTTCATGGCTACGCTTTGACTGGCGATATAGCGCTTTATTCTCTCCTTTTTCACAATGATATTCAATTCCAGTTTTATCTATGTTTATTAAATTTTATTCTCTTACTATAGAATAAGGAAATACATCTAGTGGTGAGGTAAGAAGTAAGAGATACCCGAATGCTGAGGGCATAAGAAAAAGGCCCTACAAGCTGACAAGCTACACCTCAACAAAGAATCAGCAGGTTATCCAAAATTCATCGGTCGGGCAACATGGAAGGATGACTGTACGGATACAGGCAAAATGACAGGATGAACTCGAGGTCAAGCTGTTCAGACGCAGGGGTTCAGCCCGAAGTTTCTCCTGCATAGACGCTGGCTTGGAACCTGTACTACACACGGAAGAGAGTGGACAGGGAAAGCCTTGGCTGTTCTATTCATTTCTTATTCGACCATGACAAACCTTAATTCCATGTGTGATTAGAGAAGCTGCTCCACATGCTTGAAGCCCCCGGTCCCATGCAGCAAGTAATCATGTAGGACAGTGGAGGAGTCCTTGCATGATCGTCCCTCCAATTGGCTGATACGATGTCAGCTGCCTAGGATGAGACAGACAATGCCGAATATCAGGGGGGAGTGGGACTTGGAGATATTTACCATTTCCGTTCTGATGAAACATCTGGGATGTGATTCCTCACATGGCGCGATGGTTCTCCCCACCTGCTCTTCCCGTCCCGAGCCAGACCTGGGGGAAAGAACTACCTAGGCTCGTATGGTATTGGACGATGATTGGTCTTTCTATTACTGGAACTCCAGGTTGTCGCACCCTGATAAGGCTGCGTGTTCGAGACCACGTGGATTTGTTTGACATCGAAAGCTTGTATATCACTGCTTCGGTAACATATTCCTTGTTGGAAGCCATGGTGTCACCTACTTTTCGAGTCGACCGAACAGGCGCTAGAAGAAATCTAAACCTGCCGGAAAAAAGAGACTGATGCTAGTGGACTGGTGTGCGTTCGGATCTGGTATCTAATGGGCTCAATTGAAGGCTAATTCGATGATTATGAAATGGATGATCGCGAATGTGCAATAGTGAGATAGAATGGCCTAGTCAGAGCTGTTATCGCTGACTGTAGGCCTAAATCAACTGCCACCAACTTTAAATCGACTGAAGGGGCATGCATCCGTTTCAGCCTGACGGACGAAAAATGAGAGATCTGCGCTGTGCTACGTGGGAATTCACTTTAGTGTACGGAATGCTCCGTAATAGCTTTCTTTATTAATAAGTGTCCCCATCCGAAGTGTGAACAGAAGTACCATGGCAGAATCTGAGTTTCATGGCGCTTACACCACAGGCGTGGATGTCGAATTTTGGATGTTGATCTCATTGTTATATTATTGATATGACATTAATTCTTTGCAACGATAGCATACATCATCATAGAAAACACTTCAGGACAGCATAATTTTATGTGTCACCATTTGAAAACTCACAAAACCGCTGTCAAAAAACAGAACCTTAGTACAGGAACAGAGGGATCGTGCTTGGCTAAATAAAAGCACAAGATAGGAACCTCCAATGAATGGTAGTTTGAGCTGATATACGAGTACGCATAGATAGAATATCTTAACACGACTTATCTGTGGTTTTTCGGCTCGGTTCAGCAGTTCGGTAAGTAAGAATCTACTTCACACTACACCCGTATTAATGAAATGACTATTCCTTGAAAGCATTCCAACAGCAAGGAAGTTGGTCACCAGGGGATCAATGGTAGAACAGATAGAAAGCTATGGTCTTCTGCGCGTTTTCGCAATACAGACAGGTTCCGACCCATCAGTATACGAGGCCGCAATCAGGACATTTCTATGGGAAAGGGAGACTAGACAATATTTTTCTCGGTTCCGCTGTAGACCATGCTCTAGGCTTACACGGCAGATTGCTGGTTGACTGGAAGGACCGATAATCGTCACCACATCTGAAAGCGCCGTCGTTGCAGTGGCATTTGCCATCCAACAAGGTCGCAGGATTTTAGCGCTTAATGCCCCAGACTTTGCTGGACTCCTCCCCGCGGGGATATCCTCCTGCTAATGATTGCACCATCTGACCGAGAGTATCTCTGATCTTTGGTTTAATTTGTACCAAATGCACTTTTCACGGGCAGGAAGACTCATCGGAATCGATGTAGGTTGGTCCATGGCCTGCCGAGGTGAGTTTCCTGGGAGTGGCAGGGAAAAGAGCAGCAGACGGCGTTATTAAAGCATCATCTCGGGGCAACGCAGGGAAATAGCTGCCTGTAAAAGAAAGCACTATCACTAAATATTTCGCTGGCCAGTTCATCACAGGCTCGATGGCATTTATTATAGTGTAAATCACGTGATATCGCAGGTTGTGGGTGTCGCAATGTGATTCAACAGTGGCAGTGAGAGTGGATCACTGATATTTGACAATCCGGACGCCGCGATGCTGGAGCCTCTCCAACACCTCCGTAATCCAGGCGCCACGCCGGTCGTGGCGCCCATCACCCTGCAGCACAGCTTTGCAAATTGCAAGCGGCATTGAAGCGACAAACGCCCCAAACATCAGATTCGTCTCGTTCAGGCAGAACTCAACGGACTGGCAAACCTTGCTGACGACCGATGTAACGTCACGGGGAACGACCACCATCCCACTAAACGAGCCTTGCCTGAGATCCTCGTATAGGGCGTTCCAACCTCTCCGCAACAGAGCACTGGTCGCCCAAAGCGCCATCAAGTTGGCCGCCGTTTTCAGATCCGGAAACTGGAATGCAAGGGGGAATGGCGACCCCTTCATCGGATCTCCTACAGAGTCATGGTCTTTTGACAATATAGACCAGTACATTGGTCCTCTGACAGTGTCTTCCATTTCTCTGTAAATGACTTGGAGCGTATTATCTAAGCATTCGAACTCGACCATCAAACTCGACATTAGCGGCTCTTTCTCTGCGTATGGAAGGCGCGAGTAGATCTGTAACTGATGAAAGAGCCGCGGGGCGTAAGCCATACAGTCGACAATTCGATCGAAGGGTCTCTTGGCTGCATTTTGCCATGGCTTATCCATCCAGCTAGGCTCGGCCAAGAAACTGGGTTTTAACTGCCCGAGGCCGTAGAGTATCTACTTTTCCGTCAAGAAGAGGTGTTTCAAAATGTGAGAGATAACATACCAAATGAACACGAATGGCAAGAAACAGTTGATGTCCCAATCCCGACGCATGTGCATCCACGCCGCGCAGTTGGATAAGTGAGAAAAGCCCACGGCAATGCTGGTAATACCCAGCAATATGCCTAGCTGGACACTCTGAAATCTCGTACATCGCCAAAACTAGACATGCAGCAAGCGTCTCATCATGCCTAACCAGCGAGGGGCTCTGAAGAGCCACCTGTAGCGCTCGGAGCCCACGAGTATAGAGCTTCAAACTTTCGTGTACTAAGGCCTTGTTGCCCGTAGATCGACCTACCAGTGCCGTGCAAAGCGCAAGTGTTGATGCTTTCAGGGCCCTGGTGTCAATCGTCATCTGTGGGAGCTGACTGAGCCATGGTTTGCCTCCGAATGGCCCTCTCATGTCAGGAAAACAGTGACCATAAAAATTGTCCAGCAGCTGCTGGTGATGGCTAGTCTGAATTAAAGATGAGTTTTGCTGCGGAGTTGGCCGGATTGCCTTGGCTGCTGGATTGACCTGAACAAACACGTAGTCGCGCTGATAGCCGGGGCATAACCGGTTGGACCGAGTGCATTGCAGACATTGAGGCGTCTGCTGGCCGCACTTGAGGGGATCAACATCCATCATCAGTGGAGTGAAACAGGACGATTACCTTTATCTTTCTTTTCCGGCAGGCGTGACAGCCTTTAGATTTCCCTGGCACGCCGACCATTGTCTTGGAGTGACCATCACGAGAAGTTGTGAAACCCAGCAAATGGGTGAAGTGTTTGGTCAGTGTGCTGAGAAGAACCTCAAATGGACCCCTTCAGAAGGTTGTCAGGACAAATGGTCCACTAGTATCGTCCAGCCAGGTACTAGCCACATTTAGCTAGTTCTACTCGCTTCGCCCTATTCATGTGCCCCTTGACATGGGGAGACGCGCGCGTCGCGGGCAGCAGCCTAGAAATGAGTGATTAGCCAAGCTTATGGGATATAATATCGCGCAGAGCTGTTCCGTAGATAATGCAGCCTTTGTCCTTCGAGGTCTACTGATTTCTGAGCCAAAATTGACTGTAGTATCCGTATATGAAAATTGAAAGAGTAGCTAAGGGTGAACCCGTACTGACGTGCTGACCCATGGCCTAGTGTGACCAGACTTTTGCGCAATTACTGGAGTATTATTGAATTTATCCTTAAGGTATTATTGAGAATTTATTTGTATATTTAAAAGGTGTTGAGGTACTCACCCGACAGCCAGTTAGTAGTCGGGCGGGTGACCACCAGCAAATTCCCAGCTGTTGTATATATATATATATATATATTTTTCATTTTAATGAGGCAATGCCATCAGTTGACTAGACACAATTGATAGCCTGCTCTCCATAGCATCATCAAGATCATATTAAAGATAGTCATGGTTCCCGAGAATGCCGTTGTCGGAGCCGGGCCGCAGCCGGTGTTCGGGAGCCCCAAAAACAGCAGTCGTTCAAATCAGTATGTATCATTTGGGGAGTGGTCTGCGCAAAGTTCTGCCAAGCCATCTGTGTACGGTTGTTTCCGATATTTGGCTGAGGGGCGGAATCTGCTGAAGGGCAATTTATGGCGGCGATCTAGGGTCCGCTTTTATGACGTGGGGATATTTGGGATGCTTAGCTAGGTGGGCTTGTGAATGGAGCGGGGGATACAAAAGACAGTCTGGATAGGGATGGATAGACTACTCTAGTGGAATGTTCTTTACTCCTCCGTCATATGTACTTGTCTATTGCAGACAATGCCAAGCTTCCCGGTTGCACCAGCGACCAGCACCAATGACGTCAGGGGTGTGGCCCTGATGTATTCATGAGGCTATTGAGGTCACCTCGACTACACAGCATAGTATTGTCCATAGGTCTGCTGACAACGGGACCTATTTCGTTATTCATATCTACCACCTACTCAAGACTTTAATCCTTTAGACATGTACAGGTAGCACTATCCTACTCCATGACGAATAACCAGCATACCTCTTGTTACTCAGTTCGGAATGAGCTGCCACGTGGAGATCAACACAATTGAGTCATCCTGACGTTCGGTGCCCCTGTATCCTACCTGTCTGAAACCCTAACCAGGAAACTGCATACTGTGAGGTCATTTGCTAGCATATTGTTGGACACCCAGCCTGAATACATCCAGGGGCGAAAAAGCATGTACATCTATGGATTGAGGCTGGAACGCCTAGTCATAGTCATAGTTCACAGAGCAGATGGACCCACAGATGACCAAGAATGGTCGAATGGTCGAATCTGGAGAATGATAGGCATAAGAGCTTACACAAGAGGTAAATCGCCTTCAGTCTAGCCGACACCCACAGTGAGCACAGGCCATGAGGTCGGCTGGGGGCGAAATGACCTGGTAATAGACTAGTATCCAGAATGTATCCAACAAACCCACAGACAGAATGATATAAGCGGCGGCGTGACACTATCTACAATGAAGAATTATCATGACGCGAGGATTATCCATGCAGCAAGTACCCCTTATACCTAAACAATAGGCCCAAGATGGAGAAGTGTGCAATAGGTGTGATATCACAGAACAGGGCACGACACGTCCAAACCCTGTAGAAAGTAGATACTCTACCCTGACAGCGGGATGATGGCATCAAGCTCTTCATTGGCAGGAAGAGACAGCCAGGATCAGCAAGAGGGGCCGCGCCGTGGGTATGATGCTGCAAACAGATCGCTACCTTGTTTCGATTGGCGCATATTACGAATGCCAAGGGCTGCTATGTATACAGACAAACGAAGGTAACCTGTGGCGTAACGAGCGTCGATGCGTTGTGAGGTCTGAGGACATGTACGTTGAGCTTCACGAGCTAAGCTATAAGACGGACAGACTCGCAGTTTCAGCTTCAAGCTTATTCAATTTCCTCTTCTCAAGACAACATCTAGAACAGCGACAGCGACTTATCACACAAAATGGTTCCCATTCATCCATCCCCACAGCCGGCAGCATCTGCCAACCAGCTGCCTACCCTCCACTCGGCCATCGCCGACAAACGATCTGCCTCCTACACCTCCTCAGCCAACGACCACGACTCTTCCCCAGTCAAATACGTCTCTCCCGGCAGCAACGTCGACATCCAGATCCGTGAATACCACAACAGCATCAAGGCCACCCTGACGGCGCTGCTGAATGATCAACGAGTAAGAAAAAACCCAGACGGCAGCAAATGCGTCCAGTCCTTCCTTTTTGAAGCGGAAAGGAACTTACGAAAGGAGAAGAGAAAATCGATCGGCTCGCGTCCACCACCTGATGAGAAGCTATAATGGCCCGGGGCCTTGTTCGGGAAGACATACTGAGGTTGGGATGAGTGAATGGCTGGACCATACTATTGGTGTCGATTGATCTGCTTCTACCGCTTCTACCTCATTAATTTGCAATAGTTTGGAGTTCCATGGCGCTATGGTTCACGACGAACACGATGATGTGACCTTGCTATCATAGAGGATGACTTGTCTGACGTATCTTGGCTCCATTCTGAGTAGTTGTAAGTTCTGTAAGATGATGTAAGTTTGATACAAGTTGAGTATCTCGAATGACGAGACATGTCAATACCAGACATAAGAGGACAATGCAAGCCTACAATGTATGTGAATAGTATCAAGTTTCAGCAGGCATGTCACAGGCACATCCTCCGTGCTACTCTGCTTGCAGATGGAGAGTTGCATTGAATCTGGACCAGCTCTTTTCCTCAGTAGCATATCCTGGCGAAGTAGTGATGCAGCCAGCCCAATTAGCAATATGAGATGATGTCTTCGCCATTTCTAATCCTTGTATGTATCGTCAGAAGTGACCGTCTCCTCCCCATTGTCAATGCTCAAGAAGGGGTTTCACCTCTCGCCGTCATCTCATGCCATTACTGGCCACCGACTGCGGAGAAAAGTCGCCTACGGTGGGTATGATGCTTGGGAACCTCATCACGATGCTGATCGCTTGTAATTGCCACAATAGTCCACACCTGCCCCCGCTCTTCGGCCGTAAGGCATCCGACGATCATCCAGCTAAATCACTGCAGATCGCATCTTGACATGAATCATGATGTCTCATCAACACCGCGCCACGGTTGTGCTTTGGATACTCTTGATACAGTGGATCTACCCCTATGTGAACTTGGGTGGGCCCAATGATTCGTAGAAAAGCAAGCGTACTTCTGATTCCCGCTGTGCCACTTCTCCCTTGGCTCAGACTTGCAGCACGATGACGTAGTCAGTACCTTTCACGAATGCTCCTCCCCGGCCTCAAATGCAGCAGCGTTGACGACATGTGATCAATTCAGTCCAGCGCGCTCTGGGGCTTCAAGAGGAGATGAGTGTGGATATGGCTGTGGCAATGAACGCAAAGGACGAGAAAGGGCATTCGAGGACGTGATTGACAATACTTGCTTCAGTTTCTTTTGACGTGACATTCTGTAGTTGTGGAATACTTAAGAGAGCTAGTTCATCATAGCTGTAAGGACGTTCAGTATCGGCATATTCGCAGAACTCTGCGCCCCGTTGAGGTTTCATGACATTTATGTCTTACCCTTCTTTGCATAAGGACAGCACAGAGCAATTAGACTATTCCTAGCGTAGCCATCGAGGGTACACCCGCAATGTGTAGAAGGTGCCATCCGCATGAACGCTCCAGGCTAAGCAGTAGTCCCGTTTGATTGACTTTCCCACAGCGTCATCGAGGCATTAAACAGTTTGCTGATTTTTATCTTCTCTCGGCTGGAAGGCTGGAGGAGTTGCTCGGCATATGAGTGGTCAGTACCCAGCTTGACTTGATCGGCATCATGCCGAGACTTGCATAGTCAGTCCCTAAGAGTTGCGTTTTAGGTCGGAGTCGGGCCTGAGGAGCGCACAAGCTGAGACGGACTGGTGGCAGTGGAGCCGTGCATGCCTGTCAACAAATTATAGTACAGCTTCTTGCTGTTTATGAAAGCAAGAACTGGGCGGTGGCGATATTCAGCGGCGTCCATCTAGTCTTCGACTTGACAGTGATGTCAAGTCCCTGTCCAAGGAGAATCTTTACCACTCCGAGTTGGACTTTTCCCACTGTGCCATGTAAAGCAATCCAGCCGTTGATGTTCGTGGCCTCTTCTCTGCACTGCACGCTAGAAGAGCCTTAACTGTCTCTGGGTAGCCCTCTCGCGCCGCGATTCCTAGGGAAGTCCATCCGCTATTATCGCGTGTCACCGATATCCGTCTTTCTATCCAGCAGAGTTTCTACCATGGCAGTATCATTCCCTGCAGTGGCGGTTACCGGGCTCCAGCCGTCATCATTGCAATCGCGCCGTGTCGCAGCAGTAAGTTGACTATCTCTAGATGGCCATTGCCGGCCGCTAAATTGAGAGGGCTCCTACCACCCGAGTTCTGGGCTGCGAAATCTGCCCCGTAGGCGAGAAGAGATCGAACTACTTGAACATGACTCCTCGCGGACGCAGCATGCAAGGGCGTCCAGTTATCCTTGTTTGCCGCGTTGATATCTGCACCGAGCTTGAGAAGGAGGTCAACAATAGCGTGATGACCGTGGAATGCTGCTGAATAGAGTGGAGTGTGGCCTCGCGAGTCCGCGACGGTGTGATCTGCGCCGTGCCTGACCAGGGCCACTGCAATCTCAAGGTGACCTTCGCCCGCAGCGCTGTTCAAGGGCGTCCAGCCCGTTGAATCGGGGATTGAGACATCTGCACCTTTGGCAAGAAGCAATTCAACAACCGCTAGATGGCCCTCGGATGCCGCCACGTTGAGGGGGGTCCAGTTATTCGTCGATGCCCGGGAGGTGTCCGCGCCGTGGTCCAGAAGAATGCGGACCACATCAGTGTGGCCAGCCTTTGCAGCATAGTACAACGCCGTGGCGCCGACGTCACCAATGCTAGCGTTGACATCAGCACCGCGCTCTATGAGAGTCTTGACGATTTCGGCGTGGCCTTCAGAGGCGGCTGATGCCATTGGTGTCCATCCACTCGTAGTAGGTATGCTTAAGTCCGCCCCTTGGTCGAGCAAGTACTTTACAATTTGGAGATGTCCACTGTGAGCCGCCGCGTTCAGTGGCGTGCACTGCTTCGGATGTGTCATGTCTGATATGTTCACTCCATGTTCAACAAGCACCTTTACCGAATCTAGTTGACCCAGTTTTGCGGCGGAGTAGATAGGGCTTTGCCCGTCTACGGATGGGACGTTTGGATCTGCTCCGTGGTGTAAGAGAACAAGCACGGCGTCGGGATGACCAAATGTAGCTGCTGCGTTGAGCGGGGTGAAGCCGTCCTCGTTGCCACAGGTGTAGTCTGCACCGTGCTCGATCAGATACTCTAGGATTTCCGTGTTCCCTGAGACGGAAGCCGAATATGCAGGTGATTGGCCGTTCTTACCGGTGGCAAGGATGTCCTCACCAGCCGCGACCAGCCTTTTGATTTCTTCGAAATCCCCCTCGCAGGCTGCCACATTGAACGGGGATAGTCCGGGTGTATCGTCTTCGGACACGGTCCCGTCTTCGGATGCCATGGCCTGTGCATACGAGGGAGGAGGAGCGGAATCATGGCCATCTTCTTCCTGATTCACGGAATGCGCCGGCGGTGCCGTGGACTCAAATGTATAAAATGACTTTGCGGAAGCGATTAGATCTTCCATGGTGACAATCATTCCATGTCTTTCAGTTGTCTCCCCGCTAGACACAAAAGACAGCTCTTTCATACACTGTACAGCCGCCTCGAGATCCTTGATCTCAATGTCCAAGACAACGAGCGACGATTCCTTTTCTTGGGCCAGCGCATTTTGTTGAAGCCACACATCCCTCAAGATGAAATCAGCACCCATACCAACCATACATTATCAGTCGGGCGTTGAAAACAAGACCTACATCTTCATCATAGTGGCAGCCACCTTCAAAGCCTTACGGTATGGTTCCAAACGGCCACGATACGCAATAATCGCGCAGCTATGCCAGCCTGATTCCCCGGCCTCGGCGTAGGCTTTGAACAATTCCAGCTCTTGCCTCAGCCGCTGAAGCGTGACTTGGATGTCCTCCAGATTACACCGCACACAAGCCCACATCCCGAAACGGGCAGACGTGTGCGTCATCAGGACGGACGGATGGGTCCGGCAGATGAGGATGATCTCATCCAGGACGTGACAGATACGATCCAGCTCATGGCTTGTGTTTGAGATTGTCGTGTCGCCATCTGGAACGTGATCACGGAGGAGGCTTGAACTGAACGAGATGATCTAACGCGTATCAGTTGGTAGTCATGAAGATGCAGCGGATATAGATACCTCGTGGCAGGATGCTTTCAGGGCAGTGGAGCTGTCGGCGATTAATAACGGATACATATCTCGATCCTTTGTTAAGTGCGCTTCCTCAAGTACTACAGAGATCTCTCAGGAGAAGAAATCGAGCAAAGAGGGGAGATCTCGTATAGGACCTTGGCAACTTGGCAACTTGGCAACCACGTGACCGGACAAAGACCAGACGTCGATTCTTTTTTTAATAGATAAACACATGATTGCATTGTCCACGTTGCAGGTGTGGTATTAGTGATAGGGTTATTTGAGGCTGTAGTGCTCTATCGTTGAGGAATCCGATTCGCTTTACGGAGAATCATCGGTTGACAAACTCTCGGATGTCCATATATAGCGGCACAGTTGACGTGATATCATCACAGTCTACTTGACGTGGTCAGCTACTGACAGCGACAACAGCTTTTCCATCTCTAATTATACTTATTATCTGACTGTTACATAGGATCCTGAGATCCAGAAGAAGACCGGAAAGACTGATCCGGTGGAGGTGATGGCAGCTTTGAGAGAGATGAAGAATGCTATGTGAACAAGTGATATAGGAATAGTTTTGAACACCATCTGTTCCATTGACTGAATATATAAATATAGAATGAGCAGTCAGGGTCTAATAAATCATACATTTTGTCTCACTACCCCGTCTAAAATTGCATTTATAAAAGCGAGAGGCCCTTGGCGTCACAGGACCTGTCAAATGGTAGTTTCCTCTGATATCTTCTGTTGCTTTACTTTCCTTGAACCATGTGTACAGCTACTATATGGTGGACTTAAACAGGTTAAAAAAGGACATATAGACTCCAGCTGGAATACGAAAAGGATTGAACATGTGCAAAATACTGAAAGGAGCGACACAAAGTGAAGTCTCTATAAGAAGAAAGCACCTTTCGAATGACAACAGCTATGCATGAAGGCAAAATTGCCCCCAAATACCCCCAGAGAACCCGTTATAGCATGACCATGCCGACTGCAGTCAACAGCGCAGTGATGGCATACACACCCAGCTCGAAAGAGCCAACAGTCACGGCAGTGCCGCGCGTAAGAGCAATAGCCGCACTGGACGACTTAGTCGAAGACGCAGATGAGCCGGACGAGTCAGCGGTGCCGGTGGGCTTGGAAGTGACGGTGCCGGTACCCGCGGTGCCGGCCTCCTTCATGAGGGAGCTGCAGGCACCGGTCGCCTTGGTAGCGGAGGTGACAGTGGCCGAGCCGCCGAAGCTGCACGCGGAGGAAGCAGAGCTCTGCTCGGAGTAGTATTTGTTGAGCAGGAAGTTGAGCTGCTGCTTGGGGGTGCACATGCCGTAGGCGCCATAGCTGCCTGTGGTGGCGTTGCGAGCGATGCCGGTGCAGTCGGTGTAGCCGCAGATAAGACTAAATAGGTCGGCGTAGTCCTTACTGCTGACAGAGTCCTTGACAACGCACGAGGCGGCGTTGCTCATGCAGGTGCAGAGCTGCTCGTTGGGGGTCGGCGGGAGGGGGCTGGCGCTGGCGAGCCACTTGCTGTTGACGGTGGGGCAGCTTTGCAAGGCGGTGTTGGTGGGAGTGTACGAGGCCTTATTGGTACCGGATGGGTTGGCGTTGTTGTTGATCTGGCTGGAGTAGTACTTGAAGTCGGCCATGGTGCTGACGCTGGTGCTGTCGACGGCGGAGACGAGACCTGGACAGATTAGTTGCGGCCGGATGACTGATCAAGAGACTTACCGTAGTTGTTGGCCTCCTGGAAGTACATGTACACGATACCTCCCGACCACACATCGTTCATCTGGTCTCCAAACAGGGCCTCGATCTCGGTGAACTTGCGGGGAGTGACCTCGTTGCAGCCATACTCGGCGAAGAAGACAGGCACGGAATAGTTCCGGAACTCTTCCGTGCGGACGCTGTACCCGGACTCGGTGTAGGATGAATCGCCGCACCAGGAGTAGATGTTGTATCCCCAGAAGTCGATAGACTCGTCACTTGCCTCGCAGTTGAAGTAGTCGGCCATGTTGACACGGATGGTGGAGTCATCGTTGGTTGCGTAGCCGACTCCCATCGAGCGGTATCCCTTCTCCTTAATGTATGCCTTCATATCCCGCACCGCCGCCTTGACAAAGGCACTGGCATCGGTGGTACCGACGGTGTTGGAAACTTCATTGCCAGCAAAGAAGCCGAGGGTGTTGTTGTACGGTGCCAGGGCGTCAATCACGCTGGTGTAGCGGTCGTAGAGGGTGGTCTCCCAGGAAGGATCACTGCGGTCAATAGCCTGGGATGGGTCAGAGAGATCGGAGATGACATAGATGCCGGCATCGGCCAACATCTGCATGCACTCTGTGTGGTTGGCGGTGGGGTCGATGGCGTAAACGCGGATGGTGTTGGTGTTTAGCTCCTGGAAGATGGGAACGTCACGCTTGCACAGCGTGGCGTCCGACAAGGGGTCGATATAAGTGCTGCTACCATCGCTGGTGCCATTGCTCGAGTAGTCCTCTGTTGGAGTTAGCTTCATGTGAGGCTTCTAGATGACAATTACGTACGTTGGTAGGCAATACCACGAATGTAGCTGGAAGGTTTAGCATGAGTTCAGACAGACAGACGGAGCGTCCTTACAATTGGGTGTTGTTGCTGGAGTAGAAGAACTTGGATCCCTTCAGACAGTTAGCCTAACTCATCAGAGGATGCAAGGGAAATACCTTGATGATGATAGGGTCAATGTCTGCCAGAGCAGTGCCCAAGAGGCCAGCCCCAAGGAGAGCGTGAGAGAACTTCATGGCGTCGAAATCTCTCCTTCTCTGGAATGAAATGAAACAGGTGTAGATATCAGAGAATCAAGTACTGAGTAACGAATGACTAGAAATGCAGTAGGAAAGGAAACGAATGAACAGGCACAGAATATGTCCTGTAGGTCGACAACCCGGGAAACAGAAAGCTATAACAACACCCAGGAGATTGCGTCGACACACCCATCGTGAGCTATCGCTTGACAGAAGCATTATTATTAGCAGCCCGCCTCACAAAGGGGGCGAACTGTACACCCGTCAAGTTGGTCGGCTTGTTTCTGCTTCTGCGATGCCATCAACGGCCCCGCTTTGGGCAATGAACGCGTCAACACTGCAGTAAGCCACCGCTGGTCCGGTCGTCAAGCGAGGTGCCGGCAAAATGAAAAAGCGAAAGAGACGACAGTCCGACTCCATCCACCGTCCAGTATTGGTTCATAAATCCGAGCTAGAAATTAGAGTTGACCGAGATGATGCCACTATTGTTATTGTGGCGGGCCATGATGGACTGATATAGCTGTGCCAACAATTATTAGCGGATGTGCGATTCAAGAGTAGGGTATCATAAAGGTATCCAGATTTACTCACTGTGAATTGTCCTCCATCGCCTTGCATATCATTTGAGCAAATTTTGACCAAGCGTTGATTCTATGATCGGAGTTGAGATGGTTCGTGGTGAGTGTCAAACTTTGTGGGCTTGTTCCGTCGGAGGGCTTTATCCCCGAACAGAGTCATGCAGCGTCGGTCTTACAGTGGAGCACACTCTCTAGAGTACAAACCAGAAGTGCTCATTAATTTGGGCCGCACATACGCCATTGAGTCAAGCTTTGTGGATTTGCAACCAAATTAACGGTAGCCTATTTCAGTTCAGTGTTCTATTCCAAAGCAGGAGTGATCGGCATTAACTACTCTTAGTTCCTGGTAGCTTAGGGAAACAGTGGCCTCGAATGGAATCGATACACAGTGTATATGCTGTATCATGTGTGTCTGATCGAAAATATGATTGATGTCTTGTGGTCGAATCGACTGTCATTGGTGATTTCATGATATGGACAAGCTGTAGAGTCCAAGTCTTGTAATGTACAATCTCGCTAGAAACAATTCATCGCACGTATCCGTCCTGCATAATTCATGTCGCAATATACCAATCCCGAACACCAGAGGCACCGCCATATATCCAATTCCGATCCCAGTCCCAATATATCACATAATTCACATTTCTCGACGGCGAGCCTCAATGGCGGCTTCGAACGATCGGATGGTATCTAGCGGTCGCTCGAGGCGGGGCCGTGTGGGATTGGACCGGTCGGGATCAGCTGGATTTGGTTAGCATTGATGATTCGCATGCGATGAAACGAGGAAGAGACGAACTGATAATATTTCCCTCTTTGTCGCGGTGCTGCATCGATCGCAGCGAGAACATTGGAGTCCCTGATACCGCTTGATTGACTTTTTCGAAGCGTTAGTATATACACAACACAAACAGATACAAGGTAACGAACTTGGCTGAGCTTCAGTCAAGGCCTGATTGGGATCAGCTTTGCTGGACAGAGTAGCCTTCTTGTAGCTCTCACGAGAGCCGATGGATCCAGCGCGGTCGCGGTCGCTGGATGACCGTGAGGAACGAGAGAACGGCATAGTGACTGTGATTTAGATAATAAAAGATAGTATTATTGATAGTTTGATGAATTGTGGAGATGAAACAACAATTAGAGGTGTCAAATTGATGGCACTACTGAGTTCTAAATTGCTAAGGCACGTTGGCGCTGAGGGCCTGAGGAGCCCAGCGAGCGGGCGCCGTATAAATGCCAGGGCCATCCTGGCACTTGTGCCTGACTGCCTCAGGAACCAGGTACCGGAACCCATTTTTAGAAGCGGAATGGCCTGTGACGCTTCTTGCACCACGGATGTGCATGATTTGCTCATAACCGCTGACATGTGCCTCCATCCCTGGTGCTCACCATGACGTTGTGTGGTCCGAGGAGGGGAAGTGTTTCACTGTGTCTGGAATGCGAAGAATGCGAATGGTCCCAATCAGGCCAAGCTTTGACTATGAAGGCCAATCGAAGATTGACAAGGCCATCCAGCCAATCACATGACGCAGACGCCAGAAGCAGTAAAATGGGACACGTAAGCAGAGGGGCTGAGGCAGTGGCAAACTGCAGGAACAGCCGGGAGAGCACCGGCCCACTCTGATCCCACGGTAGGCATCAACATTAGAATTGTCTCCTTCCTGTTCCTGACAAGCTCTAGACAAGGGGAACTGAACTACTGGGAGGAAACAACAGGTGTTTCTCGCCCATGTATCATGTCTCAGAGTTCCTCGCGTTCCTCGCGTTCCTCGCGTGGCTATTCTCTGACAGACAGAGCATGTGCTCTTCTTATTTCGGCATCGCCGGATGCTGCCTCTTGAGGGCACGTGATTTTATGAATCTGTACACTTGGGAAGTTTCTATTAATGATCAGATGCAGCTACGAAGCAGACATGATCAATCATCAGACTCGAGTCGGTTCCAGAACTGATGCTGCTGTACAAGCAGACCATCAAAGTATGGTATCCTGATGGCTTCTGTGATGACACCCGTTGCATCTCTTATTGGATATACTGCACGATTACCTCTAGTATCCGATGGATAGAGGGCAGCTAATTTGTATAGAGTGGGAGTTCAGAGATCCGCAGTATGAATCATGATCATCACATTTATGACGGGTTTTTACGTAATCAACCACAAACCAGCCATGAAGAGTCTTCCTCCTACGATGCAACTGTGAAATCAAGCATCTACCCAAATGAATCAAGATTGAACTGATACAATGGTGTTGACTAGCGTTTCATGTAGCGCAAGCGAGAGTCAGCGATGGACCCTCACCATCGCGGTAGAAAATGGGCGACGAATCTGCAGTTATCAATGTGATTGAAGGCGAGGTAGAGTTCAACCGGGAGACATGGCTATATGCTACAGAGACGGGGAATTTGGAATAGAAACGGAAGCTGTTTTACTGATCGGGATTCTTCAAGGTTTCTCCTTTCTTGTTTCTACTTCACGCTTGACTTGCTCGCTTGTGCTGGATCTTCTGGAATTATTGAGGAGTGATTGAACGCTGTCTTGCTACTGGCTCGTGATAGCTGCCTCATGTGTCTTGTCGTCCTCTTTCCCATAATTCTAACTTCGGGAATGACCGGCGCCGTGTCCTGAAGATTTATGGATATCTACTTCGTCACTCAGAACTGCGGAAGAAAAGAGAAACCCTGAATGTCAAAGTGGCTCGATGATCAAGTTCATATCCCATCAAGTGACCTTTCCAGAAGAATAGAACTGCCTGACTTGATCTATCACAAATCGAGCATCATCCAAAGTCATGGCATAGTATATCGGCAGGCGAACAAGGCGCTCACTCTCCCTAGTCACCGCATCTTCATCCATAACATGCCGGTGATTCTTACCAGGGCCTATTTTGTGAAGAGGACTATAGTGAGGCAACACGCTGATCCCAACCCCCTTCATCGCTTCCATGAACTCCCGTCGTTCCGCCATATCCCGGACCTTCATTCCGAACATCCGAGCATTGTGCTCCCGATGCGGCGGTAAAGCCGGCAACCGGATGATCCCCTGCGTCTCCAACCCCTCCAACTCCTTCCAATAGAGATTCCAGATCCGATGGCGCTGGATCTGAATCGTCTCTGCGCCCTCCAATTGGGCCCAGAGATACGCAGCCTGCAGCTCACTAATCGCATAGCTCCCACCAACCAGCTGCCACGTATCCACGCTTTCATCCGTACTCCGAAACGCCGGGTCATGCATCATGCCTTTGTTCCAAATAATCTGCGCGCGCTCCACCAGCGCCGGGTCATTAACGAGGAGAGCACCGCCCTGTCCCCCAGCCGTGATATTCCCCTCCTCCTGGAAACTAATACACCCCAGCTGTCCCATCGTCCCGACGACACGGTCTCTGTACGTGGAGAAGAGTCCCAGCGCCGCGTCCTCGACGACGTATATCCCGCGTTCGCGCGCAATTTCCAGGATCTCGTCCATGTCGCATGCGAAACCGGCGTAGCATACTGGGACCACCGCGCGCGTACGATCAGTTATCGCCTCCCGGACTCGCGTCGGGTCCATGTTCATGGTCTCCGGGATGATATCGACGAATACCAATGAGGCACCGCGGAGGAGGAATGCGTTTGCGGTCGATGGGTGTGTGTAGCTCGGGAGGATGACCTCGTCTCCGGGTTTGATGTCCAGGATCAGCGCGGCGAGGTCAAGGGCAACGGTGCAGGAGGGTGTCAGGAGGACTTTCCTGCAGGACAGGCGTTGTTCTAACCATGACTGGCAGAGCCGGGTGTATCGGCCGTTCGTGAGGGTGCCGTTTTGGATGGCGGTGTTGATATACTCTATTTCGGAGCCGGTAACGGCGGGGATGTTGAAGGGGATAAGCTTCTGGTGCTTTGGCGGGCTGAAAATCGACATGATGATTGTTGTCTCCTCTGTTGTGGACAGATGGAGGATGCCTTTGTTCTTCAGTAGGAGATGATGTCAATTTGACATACCTCAGTTGGAGTGCGGTGGTAGAGCCGAATCCATGGTTGACCAAGAGCTTAACATTTATAAAGTGTGATGTCCCACATCATTTATTCTAGTCGATATTCTCATGTTGATGAGTCACGACACAATTCTTTTTCAATTGGGTTACCGGGAAATTTCAATATTGGAGCCTGTGAGAAACAACAGGGCCTTCGAAACCAGCCCTACTTGGTGGATGACAGAGCAATATGTTGTCATGTTACTCCGACCAGGCTAATTCGACGACTGAAAATAACTGGCGTATGCAGTCAGAACTGGTTGAATGCATGTTTATGAAGTGGTACGCTTTTGCCGATTTAGGAGATATATATGTGTGCTTGTGCCTGTTCCCTGCCGGGAACCTCCAACAGCGGTTCCAAATCAAGTCAGGAATATCGGTTGACCTCATTCGATAATAGTAAGCTGACTAACTAAACCTGCAATAATTGTTCACAGAAGGATGCAACTGTACAATTCTGAACCTTACCTCCTATTCAGACTGACCATCCCCGCATCTACGTGCTGTCAAAGGGATCAAAATCAAGTTAACGAGGATAGCTCGGATACCGATCTTCCGCATGAACAACACCTGGGACAGAGCTGTGCAAGAATGACCGGTGTGAAAGAAGATAATTTGAGCCTATGAATCTCGTTTTGCTATACGGAAATTGCACTATCAGGAATCCTTGGTCCAGTATTGCCGTGTTAACCGCAAGTATGGTCAACCATATATTCAAACCCTGAAAGATGGACTGATGCCGAGGCTCGAATGACACGAAGAGACCATCATTGCGCCTACATTACAGGAAGCGCGCTTGGCTCGGGGACTTTCCTTTACATGTCGTGAAGCCGGCAGTTGACCTGTGCCGAATCCAACGCCGGACCGGACGAGAAGGCTCCTGATCATGCGTCGAATTGCATTTGCCAATCTTGAAAGACTTTAGCACAAGTTTTACACCTGCACCTATGTAGCTGACGGTGTACATCGCAAAGTTATGGGGATTGGTATGACCGGGACAGTTTCCACCTGTGGACCAGTCAGCCCATACATCACCCCGCACGTTTTCTCGGCATAGCCCTCGATTTGTAATGGCTTTGCGAAAAGAGACGGAAATGAGGGGAACAAGAAGAGCATTTCGAATCCGAACAGTGTAACGGAGCTAGGGCATTGGCAACTATTCCATGTCCACTTCACTCCGTCGTCTGCTGACTTCGGACTTCTCCCGCTTTGCATCCCGTGCGGCGCCCAGAACTGTCGGCGCAGATTACGAGTAGGAAGGACAGACCTTTGAAGCTTCAACGGCAAAGCGTCCAATTACCGATATAGGTACCGGGAGATGTTAGCGTCTGCATCCCGGAAGATTCTAGCATTGTGCAGTGTCCACAGATGTGGTGCCGTCGGCTATTCTCCGGGGAAACCCTAGTTTAGCTGGTGTTTGTGGGGTTGGCTTGCGTGAATATTGCATGTCTTGGGACCTCCAAGTTGGCCAGTACTCGGTCTGGGCAAGATTGAGAGGAGCTAGACAACGACGGCTAGACGAAGATGTGGGTAGCATTTTGTCACGACGTGCGGGGAATCAAGCGGGATGGACGTCGTCAAGCGTATACTTGGCGATTAGCAAACTTTTAAGTTGGGCCGAGTCGCGAGTTCCCATATGGTCTTGTTCGGTGAGTCTATTTGGAAGCCGGCTTATCTGACCGGGTCAAGAAAGATGTCCAGCTGAAATGCTGCTGCAAGGATGTCAACAGACGTATTCACTAGACGGATGATGCCGAGATCACTGCACAATGAGGTACCCCGCGGGGAAGTAGATTGGGATCGGCTGCAGGTGGAGGAAAAGGACTTTACCATGCCAGCATAACGAACCCCACATAATAGGTAGGGTGCAAAAATTGCCGGGGTTTAACCCTTCCCCACACGGCCAAGGCAGCTTCAAGCTGCAAGAAGCACTAGTGTAGGTTTGCGCCAAGGGAGTCTCAATATTCATAAGAGCTTTGTCATTCTGTCAAGGACGACTGACTCATGCAACACGGGAAGGAGCCGATGGACCGTACCGTCCAGGAGCAGAAAGAAACGACAAGAAATGACCACTGAGAGATCAAGTCACCAGACAGTATGAGCCTATGGCGCAGTTATCCATGGTCGAAGGCTTAAGCGCTTGAAGAATCCCGACTAAACTGAGACTGCTCCCTTGGCAGCTGCCATAAGAAGGATGGATCATGGATAGTTATTGAGTAAAAGCCGGAGTTCAGCCGAAGCGTGGGCAGTCTATGGGTTCTGCAGCCGGCAATGACCCCAAAACAGCCATACAGCAGGCCCGCCAAGAACGTGGAGGCCCGCTTTTGCTGGGGATGTGGAGACCCCGCATAGTCAACTGTGCCATGTGGCTCGGGAAATTGCGATAGAAATCGGAGATGAAAGAAAACGAAGCTAATCAAGCCACCTGCTTTGCTGCATCAATGGCCAAATCAGTTTCTAGACTCCAGCGTGGAGGAATACACACCGAATGCCACGCAAAATGTAGTAGCTCGGCAACATCGGGGTACTCCGTATGGGGACGCCTGGCTCAGTCTCGGTCTTTGCCCGGTAGAAAAGAAGATTGAGATGAGCGGTATGGGGATTTACTACCATTCGGAGTCACTATGCAACAATAGCCGACATAGACGACTCCTCAGGCTCCGAGTCGCAGCTATATCAAGGTCGTGAATCCCCTCGATTCTTGCCCTTGAAGATCAGACATATCGACTCTTCTATCCCTCTCTTTTCGGAACTGAAGATGAAAATCACGGTTCCCCTTCTTGCTGCTGCCCTGCAGCTGGCAGGAATTGCTACCGCGCAGGACGATGCTGCCATCGCCGCCAATCTCGAAAGGTTCTGGTCGTACGGCCGTTCCGAGCCCGTCTACCCCAGCCGTAAGAGCGACTCCAAGACTTGTGGTGTCCCCTATGACTAACAGTACGTTGCTCAACAGCTGAAACTCAGGGCTTGGGTGACTGGAAGGGGGCATACACCAAGGCCAAGGCTCTCGTGGCTCAAATGACCAACGAGCAGAAGAACAACCTCACTTACGGGTACACGTCCACCACCAATGGCTGTTCCGGGAACTCTGGAGGTGCTCCTGGCGTTGGTTTTCCCGGACTGTGCCTGCAGGATGCCGGCAACGGTGTCCGGGCTACTGACCTGGTGAATGGATACGCATCCGGTGTCCATGTAGGAGCTGCATGGAACCGTGACCTTGCCTACCAACGTGCTCACTATATGGGTGCCGAGTTCAGGCGCAAGGGTGTCAACGTCGCTCTGGGGCCGGTTGTCGGACCGCTTGGGCGCACGGCGCGCGGCGGTCGTAACTGGGAAGGCTTCTCCAACGACCCGTACTTGGCCGGTTCCCTGACCGGAGAGACCATTCGTGGCCTGCAAGAGTCTGTCATTGCCTGCGTCAAGCACTTTATCGGCAATGAGCAGGAGACCAACCGCAACCCTCCGATGCTTTTGAAGGGCTTGCACAACCAATCCGTATCGGCGAACCTGGACGACAAGACCTTGCATGAGCTCTACCTGTGGCCCTTCCAGGATGCCATCAAGGCCGGTGCGGGATCCGTCATGTGCAGCTACAACCGGATTAACAACAGCTACGGCTGCCAGAACAGCAAGACACTCAATGGCCTGCTCAAGGGCGAGCTGGGCTTCCAGGGATTCGTCGTCACCGACTGGGATGCCCAGCACTCCGGGGTCGCCGCTGCAGACGCGGGTCTGGACATGGCAATGCCCGATTCCGCCTTCTGGGAGAATGGTACCCTCGCTCTGGCCGTCAGAAACGGCTCGTTGACCCAGACGCGTCTGGACGATATGGTGACTCGCATACTAGCTTCTTGGTATAAGTATGCGGAGATCGAGCAGCCAGGACACGGAATGCCTGTCGATCTGCGGAAACCTCATAAGTTGACCGACGCTCGCGATCCCAAGTCCCGGTCCACCATTTTCCAGAGTGCCGTGGAGGGTCACGTCCTGGTGAAGAACACCAACAATGCGTTGCCACTCAACAAGCCCAAGTTCCTCTCTCTCTTCGGCTACGATGGTATTGCCGCCACCCAGAACACCATGGACAACGTCACCTTTGGCCGCTGGGTCTTTGGACTGTCCAACACCTTGAACTATCCCAACGGCAGCGCCATCAACACTTCGGTTCAAATGGACATGTTCCTCTCGAGCTACGATCCCACAGCTGAGGGTCCCGGCGTCGCCCTGAATGGCACCCTGTTCACCGGCGGCGGTTCCGGAGCCACCACGCCCTCCTACATCGACGCTCCGTTTGACGCCTTCCAGCGCCAGGCCCGCGAAGACGGCACCTTCCTTGCGTGGGACTTTGCCTCGCAGAAGCCCATCGTCAACCCCGCCAGCGAGGCCTGCATCGTCTTCGTCAACGAGCTGGCCTCTGAAGGCTGGGACCGCCCGTATCTGGCAGACCCATACTCTGATGAGCTCATACTCAGTGTCGCCTCCCAATGCAGCAACACTATGGTCGTCATCCACAACGCGGGCGTCCGCCTCGTCGACCGCTGGATCGAAAACGACAACATCACTGCCGTCATCTACGCCCATCTCCCCGGCCAGGATACCGGCGGCGCCCTGGTCGAGGTCATGTACGGCAAACAGTCCCCCTCGGGGCGTCTCCCCTACACCGTGGCCAAGACAGCGTCCGACTACGGCAACCTGCTCCACCCCGTCCAGCCCGAGGGCGATCGGGATCAGTGGTATCCGCAGGACAACTTCACCGAGGGCGTGTACATCGACTACCGTGCCTTCGAGGCGCACAACATCACCCCCCGGTTCGAGTTTGGTTTTGGCCTCTCATACACCGACTTCTCTTACTCCGCGCTCGAAGTCGAGCTCGTCCCCGGCGCGAACACCGACTACCTGCCTCCCGGCTCGACCATCGCCGAGGGCGGCCTCCCTTCTCTCTGGGATGTCGTGGCGACGGTCAATTGCACCGTGGCCAATACTGGCGCGGTGGAGGCGGCCGAGGTCGCCCAGCTGTATGTTGGGATCCCCGGCGGTCCGGCCAAGCAGCTCCGAGGCTTCGACAAGCAGTCGATCAAGCCGCACGGGAAGCGGCACTTTACCTTCGACCTGACGCGTCGGGATCTGAGCACCTGGGATGTCGAGAAGCAGACGTGGGGGTTGCAGTCAGGAAGCTATCCCATCTATGTGGGTAAGAGTGTGCTGGACATTCAGCTCACTGGTACTTTGAAGATCTGATTTTGAATGGGTGGTATATCTTCGTGTATATTATAAGATCATACCCATGGGTTGACCGTGAATAGTAATAATGAATTACGATGTGATGCCGTCAGTCTATCAACGTATCACAATATTAGTATATATCCGTAAGCGCCATCAATAACCTCATAATCTGCATCTCCTTGTCATCGGTCGACTACACCATGCCTTTGACCTCCCTCTTCTCCATCATGTTCGTTACCCTCGTACTCTGCCCCGCCAACGCCGACCCAACCACGGCGCTTAGCACAAGCATGACCCCGACAAGAAGCTATCAACATCAGCCATGCCTTCTCTGAAATGGTCACAACGCTCACCTTCGGATCAATATCCCTCGACTCCACCAATAACGGCCCCACAACCGCAATCGCAAACCCCATCCCCTGCGCAAAATTCTTCGTCACCGAACTGGTAACCTTCACACACCACGCCACCAGAAACCCGCCCGACGCCTGCAGCACCACAAACACCCACACCAGGCCGGTAAAGCCCTCCAGGAAACTGGATCCAGATATCCTGCCCCTCGACTGCCAGAGGAACGAGAGCAGCGCGAAGAGCAGACTCTGCGCGGCGAGCTGCGCGTTCCGGACGAAGAAGGAGTTTGTCGTTGTGGTTGTGGCTGCGGCGCGTTTGAGCGATCGCTCGATGCAGAGGCCTCCGAGGGCGACGCTTGAACCAGCTAGGAGCATGGCGAGGATGCCTGGGAGGGGGTTGGTGGGGAGTGTGGTGCGGTGCTGCTGGGTCTCTGCCGAGGCGATAGCGCCGGTCTGGGCGAGGATGATCCCGGCCGTCATTGTGAGGGTGGAGGTCCAGTGGTGGAGGGTGAATTTTTGGTTGAGGAGGAAGGTTGCGAGGAGGGGGGTGAGGATGAGTTTTGTTTGGGAGAGAGCGAGGTACGGGAGGAGGTCGAGGGAGGCGGCGCCGATGCTCTGGGCGAAGGACGCGGCGGTGTAGAGGAGCGCTGGGAGCGCGGCTTCTTCATGGCCGGATTTGAGGGTGGTGAGAAGTGATTTGGGCTTCTGTGTTGTTTGAGGAATGAAGAGGAGGGAGACCGTCAGTTTGAGGAGTTCGGAGAGGAGGATGCCCTTCAACGGATCGAAGCGCTTGTTTTCCGTTGTCGCGTGCGACTGGATTTTGTGTTGTAGCTATCACAGTGATATTAGTAGTAGCTTGGAGAGGATGGACTTGGGCGCATACAATGATTGAGGCCGCATTTTGTAGGACGAGCTGATAACGATTAGCATCTTGTGATATGTGATGTAATGGTGAATGGAGAAACTTACCAGGAGAAGAGCAACAATTGTCGATATTGGGACCTTGGTATGGCCTGAGAAGCTGAACCTGGATATTGTCATTACAAGAAGAAGTATGCGCGTTGTGTGTTTCTTACATGTCAATAGCAACTACCATGTCACTTCATTTTCTCACGAGGAGGATCGATGGTCACCGCTTTACGGAGTAGACCCCTGCTGCTCCATAAGTTAGCTTCCACTAAGCGAAAGGGTCTGGCCCCCAGACTGATTTAGGTAATGGATTGATTACAGAAAGTCAGCCTCATTGTCGGAAGTCGGAAAATTGCGGCCTGTCATTCCCTGGCCCCCAAGCGACTGGTCCTTCTCTGGCACGAGAATCGAATCAACATTACAGGTCCACTCTACGGAAAATGTCACCTGAGCTTACAAGAACTGCTAGGACTCCTCGCAGCCAAAGAGTGAAACAGCAAACTTCCTGCATGATCTAAACCTAGCTAAGGTAGTTAGTGCACGCAACGGAGGGATACTATCAATCACAGTTAGGGCCATGCACTGTAAAAATAAGTGCCAGCAGATCTGTTTAGGCAGCCACATTCTCCCAATCCAACAAGAATAGACGACAGGATGCGTGGGAATCAGACCAATATTCTCCCGTGTCTCGTGTTGAGATGGCCTCGCCCAACGTTTGGCTGGCCACGAGCCAATCAATGCACCTCATGTTCCTCAAAAGTCCCTGGCGCTTGAGACAGTGCTTGTATAATTGGAGGATCCATCCGCCAAGCTCAATTATCAGTGGATCTCCAGAGCTTATTGCATTTAGCTAAGCCCACTGTTGGAAAAGGGTCTCAAACATAGTAGCCTAGCCCCTGGGTCGATTTGTGAGACGGATAAAAAAAAGGGTGAAGACTCGAGAGAAAGACCGAGGTACGGGTTTTTTTTCCTAAGCAAGTATTATTACGATTTGTCAGGGATTACCTTACTCCGTACTCTCTACAGGACGAATATTCCATGAATGTGCCTGGATTCTGGCATGGAATGGCTGGAATGCTCGGGCCTCTCTCCCAAAGCAGTCTCGCATGCGAGGCTGTACTGTAAGATACATCACCGTAATATTACGGATAAGATTGCCCCTCATTTCTCCAGACAAATGCTTGTGACCTCTTACCATTTCTTGTGCTTAACTTTTGTAGCTCTGTAGATCATGCCATATCACTTCCTATCTCTATTTGACAACTCGCGTGCACATTGGTGTGTTCAATATCTTTCTGTAACTCAGGTCAGACTTTGACTGGGCAGTGCTATGGCGAAGAAAAAGCCCTGGCGGTTGCCTTTCTGCCAGGATTGGCTATACGAGCACTATTATAGCCTGGTCAAGCTCGCGTAATTTTGACCAGCTTTCGCTAGGGCGTTTTACTCGGAGTATGGCGAGCTGAGATATGATACGTCGGAATGGTGGCGGTCCAGCAAAGGCCGTCCATCCACGAACAAGACCGGTCGGAATCGACGACCACATTGTGTTGCCAGATTTTAAGGAGCTAGCGCTTGGGGGAAGAGCTTCGCCAAGATTCAAGCTTCATGAGTGTAACCTGTAAAAGAAGCATAAGCATATACGGAGAGCTCCATCTATCGGGGGCCGCGGACACGCCAGTGGCCACCACAGGTACAAAAGTTAAGTCGCTTAGGAAAACGCTCTCCCACAGTGGTACACGTGAATGTGATATATGCCGCAATTTTCAGGAGTGCCTGATCTCTCTGGTACCTGTGGAATACATAGGAGTCAATAACGTCATCCCTTGTAATAATGTCACCCCTTGTAACTGTCATCCCTTGTCCCCTTGACCAGTTGGTGGGATGGAAGCATGAAACAGGGGAAGAAAAGAAAATCAGAAGAAGAATAATTAATCTAGTAAAAGCACATGTACAGACGGGCCAGCTGTGCTGTAACAAAAGGAGAGAAATACGAAGTCAGGGACTTCATACAGGGTTCTGCGCCACTATTTCCCGCCCGCCTTCGCGCGTTGCCAGTTAAGGTTCCCGGGCTTGAAACTATCAATCATTTCCAACAAAAGTCTCGCAGTTGGTTGGAGGGACCCGCAGAGGTGTAAACTTCAGCCTTTTCCAGGCAGCAATAGCCCCTGTCGTGTGAAGTGTGTCTCTGGAATTTTTTCAAGTGGACAACATACATGTAGATATTGTGAGAACAACCTTCAAGGCCATGAAAATTGTCCGCTGCTAGAGATCATGGCGCGCAATCGTCTTCGATTGCTTCTAACCCTCCTTCTGGCGCTTTTGCTCGCCGGCCTCTTTTCCTCCTCGCTTCAGCAATTATTCTACCTCCTTCGGCTCCCTTTTGTCTGGAAAGCTTCCTCCGCGGCCGCAGTTATCTCGCAAGAACATGACCAATTCGACGTCACATTCGCCGCCTACGAGGCCAATTACTCGACGGCCAATGCGGGACAGTCCCTCCCAATCCCTCCCATACTGCATCACATTCACGTGGGCTCCAGACCGCCACGAGCGGAGTGGCTCGAGGCGCGCGAGCTGTGCCTGAAGCATCACGCGTCCTGGAGTACGTTCATCTGGACCGAGGAGAGCGCGGAGAAGCTGGTCCGCGAGGACTTTCCTCATCTATACGCGATGTGGAAGAGCTATCCGTATATGATCCAGCGGGTTGATGCGCTGCGGTATATGATTCTACAGAAGCACGGTGGTGAGTCTGCTGCCCGAGGAGGGTGATGTATTTGGAGCTGACCCGACAGGCGTAATACTCGACTACGATCTGGCGTGTAAACGATCTCTTGAGCCATTGCGGCAATTCGACTTTGTCGCTCCGGCTGCCCACCCCGCCGGTCTCTCGATCGGCATGATGCTCTCCTCGCCGGGGAATCCGTACATCAAGGCGCTGGTCGACAATCTCCCTCTGTACAACCACCGGTGGTTATATCTCCCCTATGTGACGGTCATGTTCAGCACGGGCTGCCACTACGCCTCGTAAGTTTTGCGACAAGTTTCACTGTATTCGAGTCTAATGCAATACAGAACAATCTACACCCTCCAGTCCAACCGATCCTCTCTCCGCATCCTGTCCGGCCCGCCCGACGCACCGCGCATGCACATGCTGAACGGGCAGGTCAACACACCGCTCTTCCGCCACCTGGGCTCCTCCTCCTGGCATAACCGCGACGCGCGGCTGATCTCGCTGTTTAAGAATCTCGACCAGCGGGCGCTGTTCGCGGTCTTGGTGTTCAGTCTCTTTGCCGTCACGACGGTAATACTGTGCTGTCTGCATCGTTCGCGTGGTCGATCTTCAGACGAGGAGCAAAGCACGCCCGTCCCGAAGTCATTGACCAAGAATGCTTAGCTGATTTTTCCATCATATACCGTTTTGTATCTTGTTATGTATCTTGTTACGCATAGGGCTCAGCTGCGCAGCAGTGGCTATTTAGAACCATTGTTGGTATATATCCTCTAATTCGACATCAAACTACCATTTTATTCAAATTGTTAAACCACATATACCGACTAACCACCAGGTAAAGCGACCGATCCCACGAGTACTGGCTCGCGTGCTGGCTGAATGCCGCTCGCGAGACCAGGTACGTCCGCCAGGGACTCACCAGCAGGACTTTGTCATTGTATGCATCGAGCGGAGAAAGATCATGGACGCCGTCTGCTGCGCTCGCTGCGGGAGAGGTAAGGATAGCTTTGAGAATGCGCCACGAGAACGGGATAGCGGTCGGGATGAGATCGACAAGCGACGAGTATTTGCGGAGGAGGAAGGTGCTTTGCAGGGTGTATGCGGGCGGGGCTTGCGGTGTGCTTGCGATGTATTTTCTGACTTGTTAGCTGCATTGCGAACAGATGAAGATGAGAGAACTAACCGGACACCGGCGCTGACGGCTCTATGGTTGATATGGCCCGAGACGCCTCCATTGTCGAAGGTGATGATCTAGCAGATGAGTATCAGTACCGGCGTTAACTGCAGCAAAGGACATACGTACCAAATCAACATTCCATTTCTGGACATGCGACGCAACAAGGTCCTTGATCAGATCCTCATTCCACCATTTCTTGGGATTATCCTGCAGCTCGGCATTGTCCAGTACGATGCAGCGATCCGGGATGATGCCAAGCACGGAGCAGCTATCGTGGATTTCCTGTCGGCGACGCTCGCCGATTCCCTCGTAATTTCCTGGAGACCGTAAGCATCAGGCGATACAACCGATGGCAAAGGCAAACCTACCAGAGGAGATCGCCAGCAACGCCCGCTTCACGTGCGGATCATCGCGTCGGTACGTGATGCTCGGACTGAAGAAGAGCGTCTCGTCGTCCGGGTGGGCAGTTACGAAGAGGATACTCTTTGCGTGCTGAAACGCGACGGGCACCAGCCGCGGATCATTCGCCAGGTAATATGCAAGCAGGACATAGAGACATAGGGCAGTGAGGGCTACTATGAAAAAGAGCGATGAAGCTATCCGGACTATTTTTCGTCGTTGGCCTTGCCGGCCGAGGCGCTGGACTATCCAGACGAGCTTCATGTTGTAACCGATGATTATTGGGTTTCAGAGCATTGATTGCACTCCGTAATTGTACTCTGACTAAATTAAGGCGCCAGAGGGTCGCGGCATTGCAGGCCAGGATGAGTGCTTTTTTCGAAATTGTTCAGCCTTCCGTCTGTCCAGGTTGTAAGACATTACCACCGAAATACACCGTTATTCGTTATACCATTACACCGCCTGGCCAGGGCGGTCAGATTTGCATTTGGCCGCTATGATAGATCTGGGCAAAGCTTGATGAGTTTTGAGTTAGTGTTTCCGAGTGAATCGTCGTGCGCCAATCCGGCTGCGCAAAATCCGTCTGCCTACAGGACCCTGTTGTTTGCGCAGGTTCTAGCGAGGGATTTTCCGTGGATCAGTGGGAGAAAATCTCCACCTTTGGTCAGTCACGCGTATTTTTACTTTATGGCGTTGAGCACATTAACATACTGTCTTGTTCATTTCCTGCAGTAACTTACGGGCTAGATGGCATTCTGACAAATGTGACTAGAATTGCCTTTTTTTTTCTTTGAAAATATTGCGCACACTCCGTGCTCAACACCCACCATGCGATGGGTGCGCGCCAAATTTCTGCTTCTGGCCTCCAGGTTACTCCGCCTCCCGTCAAGGTATTCCGTGCTTCCCCGCTCATCTCGCCATGGTAGAGCTCTCTTTGCTCGGAGCCCGCGGGCCGCGCACCGCCGTATCCTCCTGCTTGTCCAGATAGCAGTAGCAATCCTTTTGTGCAATATCGTACTAACACCGATCTTCTGGCCTTCGTACACGCACCTCCCACCTTGCTACGAGAATCTCAAAAACATAGTTTCAACTTCCGGCACCCGCGGACGAGGAAACCCCCACAATGAAAAGATATTCATCGCCGCCATCTTGTACGATCGCAATGGGGAGCTCGCCAGCGGCCAATGGGGCGATGCGCTCGTGCAGCTGATCGACCTGCTTGGTGAAGACAACGTCTTCCTCAGCTTGTACGAAAATAACAGCGGGCAAAAGGGCCAGCAAGCCCTCGACGCCCTATCGCAGCGGATCCCAAGCAACAAGTCCATCGTGGTGGATCTCGATGTCGACGAACACACTACCTTCGATACCTTCCCCCGCGTCACGCTCCCCCACGGAGAAAAGCGCATCAAGCGCATCGACTACCTCGCCGCGCTGCGGAACCGCGCTCTGCGCCCCCTCGACGAGCAGAACCACATCAAGTACGATAAACTCCTCTACCTGAACGACGTCTACTTCAACCCCGTCGAAGCCCTCCAGCTCCTCTTCTGCACGAACGCTCATCCCCCGCGGAATATCCCCTCCTACCGCGCCGCCTGCGCCGTCGACTTCAGCAACCCCTTCAAATTCTACGATAGCTACGCTACCCGCGACCTGGCAGGGTACGGCATCGGCCTCCCGTTCTTCCCGTGGTTTACAACAGCAGGGCACGGACGGAGTCGCAACGATGTGCTAGCAGGCCGGGACGCGGTGCGCGTGCGCAGTTGCTGGGGCGGGATGGTCGCGTTCGACGCGGGGTATTTCCAGAAGGAAGATCCGGTGCGGTTCCGCGCTGATAACGAGGTATTCTGGGACGCGTCGGAGTGCTGTCTTGTGCATGCGGATTTGCAGGATGCGCCGGGCGATGTAGACGAGATTCAGGATACGGGCGTTTACATGAACCCGTTTGTGCGGGTGGCGTATACGCCGAGGACGTTGGCGTGGCTGGGAACCACAAGGCGGTTTGAGCGGTTGTATGCGCGTGCGCATGACCTGCTGAACCGGGTTGTTGGGCTGCCGTGGTATAATCCGCGGAGGGCGGAGGTGCCAGGATCAAAAGTCAAACGGGAGGTCTGGGTTCCCGATGACGGGTTACAGAGTGGTGGTTCGTTTCGGATGGTGGAGGTTACGGCAGGGAACGATGGGTTCTGTGGCCGACGGGGGATGGAGGTGGTTGTGGAAGATAGAAGACCAGATCAGGATGGGTTCGAGGCTCTACCTCTCCCTTCTTAATAACATTATAATACATGATTAGGATTAAGATGTATGAGGGACTTTGGTCCACTCCCTGCACCGACCAAACACCGTCCGACAGAATTTTCCATACTCCACTATGATATCAAACTTCCTCCACGATCCCTGCGCTCGATGGAGTAGTCGCGCAGACGGGTCTGTCGTGGGTTTCGAGCCCATATTGCCATATTTGCCTCTCCCCGGGCTGAACCCCGTAATCGGAAGAACCAAGACATCCTCCACAAGCTTACTCTTCCCCCCATCATGCAATCCCGTCAGCGCATTCCACCGTAGCCCTGTAGTCGCCATCAACCAACTCTGCACCGCCTCGGTGAACGCAACCGGGCCGGTCAGAATCAGCGGATCGACTGTGTCTTTTGCTGCCTCGCTCGACATCTCCTGCATCGATGCAGAGAATCTATCAATGAACAGCTGGAGGATGGGATGTCCCGGCGCCCAGGCAAAAGCCCATTGCGTTAATTGCACCGGGTAGGTATACCCCATCCGCCAGTACATATCGCTATCAGGAGAACAATCAGCCTCCAGACCGACGATTGCGCCGACAGGCTTGGTGGACGTGTACACGTCGCCTGTTTCCGGGTCGCGCCAGGGCTGAATGTCCGAGGCGTTAATCCAGTTGTTGGGTTTGCGGAGCGGCTCAGTGTCCATATCTCCGTACTGATAAACATTAGTCTCATCTGCAAGAAAATGACAGCGGGAAAGGCACGTACCACACCACCGATCCACTTCGAAACCAGAACACGAAAGACATCTGTTCTTTCGACGTTACTAGCAAGCGCGTAGAATTGCTTCTCCAGTCCAGGCTCGAAGTGCTTAATGAACTGGTCGATCCCCTCGTCGCCCCAGAGGAAGTAAGCCATCTGATCCTCTTCGACAGCTCGCAGCCATTTCTCCGTGCTCTGCCGGATTGGCTGAGGCCATATCTGCGGATCGGTGTTCTTCCATGTTTGATGGACGATCCTCGGGATGCTGGACAGGGGTATCTGTCTCTGAGGCGCTTGCGCTCTGTCGGAAGCTAGTTTTGCTGCTTCGACAATGCTCTCTGGTACAGTCGTACCATTTCCCAGCCATGAAGGAGGAATATACCATACTATCTTTGTTAGTGGACGTGAAACCCGGGGAACAGAATCTATATCTCACCACCTCCTTTTCCGCTGGGCGGAGAAATGTATTTTAGCAGCAACGGCGTATCACTGGCCACTTCCGCCTCCTCCTCTCCAAATGAATGCAGCAACCAGATGACCGTGGCGACCAGGACAATTGCGACAATAGCATGTCGCTTGAAGCGCCTGCGTATTCCCATCACAATTAAATGGACTATGCCAGCAGCACAGCAAAAATAATCTCAGATCAGTAATCACATAGCTAGTTGGCGGGGATGTGAAGGACAGAGGTTTAACAGGGGCTCCAGAAAAGCTAGGGCCAATCATTTAGAATTATACTTTAGTGAAACAGCCACCCCCGTCCAGGAAGCAAAAACCTGCAATTTTGCGCATGAAACAAATTTTATATCAACTCCTGCCAGCTTTACTTTGACATGGACCGTAGTGGAATTGTCTAAGTCATGCATCCAATTACTTCCATATATTTGACTAGCATAGGGAACAAAAAGATAGTCATTAGATAGTCATTCCAGCAAGCAAAGTGCGCAAGCCTTGCCAAGCATTCTTACTCATAGGCAAAATTCCTGCCAGTTGGCCAGGAAAGCACTAACACAGCGATCCACCATCTCTAAGCAAGCCTATCCACAATTCATTATAATGCTGGATAATATTAGAGTCTACAGTTCGGCAAGTCTATAAAGCTATCTAGTAACAATCCAGAAGATTAAGACACCGATGTGATCGACTCAGACTGCAATGCCTGATTGCCTCCGCGGATGTCAATGATCCACCGTAACATCACTGATCCTGCGGAGGACTGTATTGAGACAGTAGACGAGCGGTTCGTTAATTCCGCTGATTCATCCGAGTTTCTGTGCCTCAACGATCGATTCGCCAGTCCACATGCGGGCCTGTCCTTGTAACTTGAAAGTCGACATCTCACAGAATGAAAATAGAAACGGACACGACGTCTGTATGACGAGTCCAGGTCGTAGGATCATTTGCTAGTCAGAGTGCCGGATTGGAGGCTGAGCCGCAGAGCGCAGGCCATTCGCAGCTGGCACATCCAACGGTTTTCTTGGCTTCGTATCCTGCGCAGTTCCTGCCAATGAGCGAGCGTCGTTATTATTGGAACTTATTGCGCGAATGCGAGAGTAGGCTGAGCAAAGGCTTTGCAATGCCAAGCTCCCTTATTGTTTATATCAAGCCATGAAACAGTATCGATATGATATTGGCTTTTGTGAGTGACATTTATGGCAAGGAGATGGTGGTGGAACAACGCAGAAGACTGAATATGTTTGGTACGTAGAGGAAGATACGAAGCATCCGTAAGAATATATATTATCGAGTGTCATATGATGTGCAGACCTGGCGGCAAAGTGTCTAGATGTATATATATATATACTGAATACAAGCCGGTCAACCAGAAGGATATCTCTCCGCTGGCAACTCGGCAATAAAAAGATCTCTATTATTTACAGTCGCGTCGACGTCGACGGTTCTCACGGTCAGACTCCTTCCCAGGCCGTTTGGCATTCCCCCTGGGCTGTCCGTCATTTCTTCTAACTTCAACACCATCCCAACCGCCTTGTGGTCCTCGGTAAGCTTCGGGTGTCGTCGGGCAAAATATCGGGCATATTTGACTAGCGACCAGTAACAGCTGGCGACGTTGGTCAAGGTCATGAGAAGCTTGTATGGCATCTTCTCCAGTTAGTCCATGCAAAGAACACATACGAGAGCAAAGGCGACGGCACGTACATAATAACCAAGGACAACCTTCCAGCAAATCCGCTCTTTCTTCAGACGCAAATGGACCTCGTTGAATATAATGACGTGAAGTAAATAAAGCCCCAAAGTCGCCATTATGAGGGCAATACAGAATTCGGGTCGTACAATGAACGATATGGGCAAGGTAAATGGAGTGAGGATGTACAGAACCGTCTCGTATATCTGTCTAGTCAGTATCGAGTCAAGCAGGGCGCGATCAATCGAAAGTGCATACCTCTTGCATGACCAGTAGCTTTGTCGCGAATTCCCACCGACCCAGCTTCCACGATGCAAAGAGATACGAGAGGTTATACCACAAGCCATTGGCGACGAAAAAGTTCCACCGTAGGAAGCGCTGCTTGAAGACGGTGGGCTCGCCGAATCCGCCTCGGTCTTCGTCGATTTCGCCAAACAACACATTGGCGGGCGTCGTGGTCTCCACGAAGACGGCGCTACACATTTGGATTCGTCCCCCTAAGCGCCGACAGCTATCACCCAGGAACCAGTCCTCGCTAATGGAAAAGCCAGGATGGTTGTGGAGGGTCCGCTTCAGGAACGTCCGTTCCCATAGTGAGATGGCGCCGTGGGGGAATGTCGCGCTGCCGATCCGCCCTGCGAAACATCGTGTCAGGCCGGACAGTTTGTACTCGAGGTCTTGTGCTTGCTGGCAATACGATCCGAGCGAGGAATCGAATCCGACGGATTTGATCGTGTAGCCGATGCAGCGCACTTCTTCGTTGAGGCGGGACACGACCACAGGGAAGTTGGGCGGGAGGATACAATCATCGTCGATCAAGAGGACGTTTCGAAAGTCTTTGACAGCGTAGCAACCGATGAATATCGCAATAATCTTGGACCCGACAGGTGACCATATGTGATTGACTCCGTAGCTGCGGCAGATGTCCTCGGTGTTGTCCAGCGGTTGCGACGAGTTCCCGTTTGCAATAACGTAGATATGCGACGCCGGGAAGATTTGGAGCGCGGCCTCGAGCGTTTTGCCGATGATGGGAGCCGATCTGTAGCAGGGGATCAGGAGCGCCGTGTCCGTGGGGTGTGGAGCAATCCGGCGCTGTTGGAAGAACTCTGGTCCAGGGGAGGTGTCCTCGAATGTGGTAAGTAGGGGGGTATATGAATAGCTACCGTTGTCCGACTGTGAGCCATAGTTCATTGAATTGCGCGTTCGCGTCTGAGGGAGACTTACAACACGAGAAGACCAATGACAATCGCCCAACCGCCCTGAAAGACTGTTTTATTCTGCATGATCCAGTGAAGCCACCATACTGCTCCCTTCCACAGAGGTACCCCGATCAGAACAAAGTAAACGAACAGTACAAGGACCGTGTATACTGCATACTCGAACAGCAGCCGACGCCAGTATCTTCGCTGATGCTTGATCTTAACAAGGGCGGCCCTGTTGTACAGACTTCGGACGCTGCCTTGTCGTATGTCGCGCGGCGCGCTCCTTAGGGCTTGGCCTACCGGTAGCGAGTTCCGATAGCTAAACCTGTTGTGTGTGCGTGGGTGAAGGGACGCTCGAGTATACGGACAGCCCTGAAGTTCCTGCGGCGACGCTGCATCGTACGAAATGTAAACAGGTTCTTCTCGAGAGATCGATCCGGTAGAGGGGCTCGATGGACCGTCATTTGTCTTGCTGTTGCCCGAGAGAGATACGTCTTCCCTTCCTTCTTCAATGGCGAATGTCTGGCTAAGCCGACCATATTGTGTCGTGGGCTGATATGTTCCGCGATCCGACCAGCTTATAGCTGACACTCTCTTCTTGGAAACACGAATCTCACACTCTGAATCGTCCTCCACGCCTAATTCAAATCTTGGACGGTTGCAATGATCTTCGTCGTCCCTCGCGGAGACCGACGCCAGCAGATTGTCCGGAACATATATCCTTCCTGCGATGCTCCCGTTCGCACTGGTGAGCATCTTTTCCTTGGTGCTCGTATATAAGGCTTCGCAAAAGCCGCATCATTTAGGTTTGAAACTAACTGAGAAAGGCGGAGGTCATATGAACGCAAGACGACCCGCCCTTCTTTCGAGGGCGCGATATTATATGTTTGGCTGGTCGTTCGTTCCTCCAGTAGCACGCTTTGAACTATGGTGTCATAGCTACTGAATCGCTGGCCAAGGTATTTCTGTACTATCCCCCAGCGCAGGAGATATGCACAGGAAGAACACTGATCGGTGGGCCGGGCCGACCTGCCCCATGGTGAACCCGCATAGCTCATATGAGAGTTACTGCTGGATTGGGAAACGGTCCCTCATTCCCGAGTCTCTCTGGCCAACCCCGGAACCCAGTATCAAATCAGAAGGATCAGACGCCGTTTTTTCCCTTAACGGCGCGGGCCACTCCTCGTCTCAGCAGCATGGGTTAGAGATATGCAAGGGGCTGTACCCCGGAGCTTCGGGCCGCCAATAGTTGACATATTTCTGAGGGGATATATCTTCCGTGCACAGTGTAGCTTGTCAATCTAACATTCCTGTCACCTTTTCGCTGGACTCTATCCCCAAGGTTGGCAGTGGGATAGCCAGAACAAAACGGCGTACACTAGCTCAGTGTGGTTACCTCAAAGAAAGGACTGTGGTACCACTTGCTGAGAGGGATGGAATAGGACTTTGTTGCAGACTCTCAGAAAAACGATTGGACCTTTTGTGATGTTTCCATCCAGCATTCCGATGGCGCCGCAACATGTATAACTGTCAACAAGCCGTTCCGCTGGTTGGGTGGATGTTAATTCCACTCACAGTGGAACATACTTTATAGATTTGGTTATAGGCTTTAACCATAACAAACCGATAAGACTCTAAACACCTTATACCGATGTCAGTACTCCTTTTCTGGTTGACTTTCTCACCACAATGCTACTGACTGTAGTCTCTTGTATATTGGCGAAGTGGACAAATTGGCCAAATATCACTACTCATAACACTATGTCAACATCATATCAACGGCGACCAATAAATAAGGGCGGCGACCTTAATATTCATACTGAGACAGTTGCCTAGGCAGTCTCTGTTGAACACACCCGTACGCCAGATAAACGCCTTGTCACACCCTCCTCTACCATCAATCTTTCTGGCAAAGAATGCATCTATGCCAAAGGGGGTAAAGGCTTGTGCTTTGACACTGCCCTTGCTTTTAAGAATCCACGGCCCGCTGCAGTGGAATGATTGTGCGCCGTACAGCATGTCAGGTTTGCACACGCCACTCGGTGATCATTTTGACAGGTGGAGCGCCCTAGTGCCTTTCTTCGCGCGTTGAATAACATTCTACCTCATTTGGTGGGTTGTAAAGATATCGAGTCGAATATGTCAGTTGCCATGGACATTGGGACTGTAAACACCGTGTCTGAGACATTGTGTGTCTCGGAACCTTGTTCCGTCCAACGGCGAACTACTCACAAGGGAACACATTCTTTTTTAC